GGAGGCTGGCGGGCTATAGTCTATAGTGTCACAAAGGGTTGGACGTGGCTGAACAACTAACACATTCACGTTCAAGGCTTCTCTTTAACATATTCTCTTCTAAATTGCTTCTCTTTAACAGAATCTCTTCCGAATTGCCAGCATCACTAATCTTGTGCTTTGGGGCCATTAAGTAAAACAATGGTCACTTGGACTTAAGCACTGTGATACCAAGACAATGGATCTGATAACCAAGGTGGCTACTAAATGACTAACAGGCAAGAGATGCTGAGCAAAGGGCTGATTCACAATTCAGGAAGGACAGTGGGATTTCATCCTGCTACTAAGAATGGCATACAGTTTAAAATTTATGGATTATTTATTTCTGGAATTTTCCATTTAATATTTTTGGACCCAAGTTGACCACGAGTAACTTAAATCATGGAATGTGAAGCCGTGGATAAAGGAGGACTACTGCAGTTTATTTTGGGAACTGGTAGATTTCTAGGAGTGGACTTGGTAAGATGATGCCTACAAGATACTAACACTAGTCAAATGGGCTGCTGTAGTGTTGGTATAATTATTTTAAGCCATTTAAATGGCCCACCTACAAAGCAAAGTTGATATTCCATTTACACATAAACTTTCTGAAAGTTTTCCAGTACTGATGATAATTCTATAATGTATGACTCCTATTATGCACTTTGAGAGGTTTTATGACTCTGTGATTTATTTACTTACGAAGTGTTGATGAGAGTAATTTCTTGGCCTGTACTGATATAGCAGACGGCATAAGATCAGTGGAGGTTTGGTAACCAGCAAAGATTTTCAAACTTTATTTGTGACATTTTTCAGAAAGACGTTATTTAGTCCACAAATATACATAGAAGCAAAGTACTACATTTCTTGATTTGAGAGCAAGTATATTTATTTTATGATAACGTAAGAATGTAAGACAGGTCACTTTACAGTTATTTTTTATAATAAGAACAATAGACTACAACTTAAGTTAAATGAAATTCTTAGTATGAAATGATTTTTAGAAGACCATAAACCTTTTATCATATAGTCTCCTGTAAACAGTATGATACTAAAATTTTATGAATAGTGTCATCTTTCCAAAGAATAACTTGTAGAAGATACTGAGAACTGCATACATGTACTTAGTACAGTACTATTTTCAAAGCATTTAAAATTTTTTAAATTGATGTAAACAACAGTCCAGTGAGATATTTTTACCTCCCATTTTATAGATGATAAAGTTCAAGAGTGATAACATGGAGAATCACCATAATTTACTACTCTTTCCCATTTTAATTTATCAGAATACTTTATTTATTTGCAGTTTAATATTATGCTGCAGTTTTAGATGAATATCATTCTGATAAGCAATAAAGAGTAAAGTTTGCATAGGTAGTATTCCTTGGGAGAATGGCAGAATTATTAATAATCATTAATAATCTTAATGAGCTAATTCAGTTTTAATCTTTATTGATAGGACTGTTTTAAATATCAATTTTTCCACGTATGCAAGGTAACTTAGGTTATAATCAAAGATAAAAATAAGTTGCATTATTTCCATTATTATAATTTTCCATTTGTTCGATAAATTCTTTGCATATTTTCCATTATTTTAGATAGTAAATAATATTGAGGACATTCAACGTAAGGTAAAATAAAGCTGGGCATGTTAAATGAGAAGGTATTTTCATTTAGTCAATCACAACCTTCAAAGCAGGTGAAATTAAATTATACTATATGAAATCCTAAAATTTATGAGTCATATATATTTATATCAATATAATAAATAAGTCAGATAAAGAATGTAAAAAGTCTACCAATTGCACTGTCAATGCTAACAGCATTTTCTTGGAAATAATAATACCTTCATAAATAGGCTGATGCAGAACTATCAATTTCACATTTAATAACTTACAAAACCAAAGTCAGTATTTCCTATTTTCCTGTGCAAAGCAAGGTAATAGTTGGAGTGTGTGCAATTTATATTTAATACATCCTAGAAAAGAAGATAAATTAACCTATCTTCCACATACAGTATATAAATAAATTAAATCCATTGTTCTATTTTTGTATAGTATCCTTTTATAAACTACACTTTTTTAATTGAACAGATTTCCAATAAATAGTATTGAGTTATTTTCTCCATGTGAAATTGAATTTTGTTGTTTTTCAAAAGAAAGTTTTTCTTTTCTTTTTAAAGACATTTTAAAATATAAATTATATCTAAATTATTCATCATTACTGGCTGTTGGGCTCACTTTTCCATATGGTCCTTTCACAAGAAACAAAACATTAACTTCTACCTAATATATACATTAGTCTTCTAAACCATTTTATATTAGTCTTTATAATATTCATTTTGACACTACAGACATATAATAACAATATGCAATAAGTTACAGTGCCATAAGATACTAATTTTATTAGTGTTATTAACATGTACCATGTGCTGTCAGGAGCTGCACCATGTTTAAAACAATAATGGCAAAAAAAAATAAAAATAAAAAATAAAACAATAATGGCAATAACAGTGACTATTGCTACAAAAACGACCACTGTTTCCACCATCAATGTATGACTTTTTTTGAGAAAAAAAGATCTACATTTTAAATTTCTTTTCTGTACACATAAAAGAATACCAGATATTCTGTTGACCTTGGTAAATGAACAAAAACTTAAAAAAAAACTTTATATGATTAAAACAATAATGCTAATTAAGTACTTTTAAAAGTTAAAAGTACAATGTAAACCATCATATTGTACAGTAGCTTAATTTCTACTTGTGTTTCAAAATTATTTCAGTGTAATTAAAAACCTGGTAAGTAATGGAGATCTATTAATGATTCTAAGGGCCCTAAGATAAGTCTCAAGGAATATTCACTTTCTGAAAATAAGTTCACAGTCCAAAACCAAAGGGCATATGCTACTGTTCATTTTTAAGTTATCTAGGTTCCAGAAGTCATACATTATTCAAAAATGAGACAAGTTTCTGATAAATTAAAAAAACATTTAAAATACATTCTTATATAGTCACTGGAAGAATCTATACACTTCTGAAGGGAATGAAAAAGTGCAGAGTTCAGTAAATCAACACAAAAGCTCAACATAACATACATCTGTAATTAGTAAGAAGATGCATCTTATCTGTTTTATTTTTTTTTTTCAATTTTTTTTTTATCATCTTATCTGTTTTATGTTCAAGAACTCAGTTCAAGAAAAAATTATAATGAGTGTTTCACCTTTTCCTTCATTTCTACGAGTTCTGATTTCAGGCCTGCTTCCGCCCTCTGAAATGTCTGCTTCTTGTATTTTCAAGTAGATAATAATCCTTTAAACTCTGCTTTAGCAGTACCTAATTAAAAAAAATATGTAATAACATAAAAGTAACATTTATTTAGGATGAAATTCGGACATAATGGCATTAATCAGTTATAATAATAATGACAAGAAATAGTAAGGAGCATAATAAAAACACCCAACAGATAATACAAGAATCAGACTTATAAACTATTTCCTTTAACTTAAAAGTTGAATGATTTACTAATTTATCTAATCCTCAGTCTTACAAAGTTCTAGAATCTATGTAGTCATTTGTAGCTATGCTTCTATATTCTGCTACATAGAATCAATGATGTTAATGTGACACTATTTTAAGTTGGTTAGATACACTATCTATAGGAACATATAAATAGTACAATCCTACTGCTTTTTAAAAAAAATGTTTAGTTTAACTTTTTATAATAAGGGCAATATAAAGTTCCCAGAGATTAGGAAGACCTGACTTCTATTAGCTCAATCATGACAGTTACCACCTTAGTTAAGTAAATAAGCCTACTTATCACTAAACATGAGTTCCATAAAACATTAGGCTTCAAAGTTTTGCAAAATATTGAATACTACTGTTTTCTTTTAGGGAGACAAATCAATAGTGGCATGTTAAGATCTTAGTCCTGTTTAAGTAATGTATTTAATCATGTTTATTATGGTTGTTTATGTTTCTCATAGTTATTTCTAAATAGCTTTTGGTCTTTTAAGTAACATACACTGATATCCTATGCATATGGACCTCATTGGTAATGATGCTATAGACAAATATAAATGCTTTAAGCTTGAGAAAAATAGAAGAAAACAGATATTTGCAAGCATGTAAATGAGCAAAACTTTCGTTTCCGAGAGCTAATCAGCACTTGCAACTGATCAAAATTTTATAGCTGAATTTTCAAAGAAAAAAGAAAAAAACAAAGAAAAAAGGAAAAACAAATCTCGATCATCAGCAAGTTTAAACTGAACAAATCTCCTGTATCTTCCTCAACTATTTCATTTTCTGGTGATAGTGCAGTAAATAATAGATAAGATGGTTTTGTCATCACATAGAATGAGGTTCAAATCCTGTTTTGCAGCTGAGTAGCAAGTTATCTTGGGTAATTGACTCACCAAGTCTCTATTTTCTCTGCTGTTAAATGGGATTTATATCTGTAAGGATTAAATGAGATACTACATGTAGAAGAACACCTAGTATAGTGCCAGGCACCCAAAATAACTCTAAAAAAAGTTAGTTGTTATTATTGTAGCAGATGTTTGGACTCATGATTCTAAAAAACAGTAAAAGATATCCCTTAGAAGCTGATGATCCTTGATTATACAAATGCAATCTGGATTCATTCTACTGTACCTGCTCAGATACAAAACTGCAGGTTAAACAGAAAATTTTTCAGTCAAGACACTCCATGAGAATTTCAGCTGGATGAGTATTCCAGTTCATTTTTAGATTACAACTTAATAGTGGCAAACTAATGCTTTGTTGTAACAACTATTCTTGAATTATAGTCCAAAATGAAATCCTTAAAAGACTGACTCTGAAATTTAGTGACCTAAGATTTAAAAAGAAATTAGAATTCTATTTCTTTTAGTTATTACCTAAATGTTATAATAGAAAAATAAATGACCCCTTTCTTTTATTGTTACTGAGCAAATTTTGACAAATAGAGGTGTTAACATACTTATCTACTATGAAGTTCCTTCTTCAGACAGGATTTGAAAGTGGGATACTTCTGAACTGTTTTATAACCCTGTGGAACAGAGGATTAAAAGTAAAGTATAAATAAAATATTATGAGGTCATAGATATGCAATAAATAAAGCAAAAATAAAAATGCATAACACCTGAGAGAGGAATACAGTGTCAGGGGTTTATAGCATATACATAATTTATGTGTTAATTTGATCTTGCTATTCTAAAATATTTGAGGAAAAAAATGATTTTCACTTGACTTGTGCCACCAATGCGAATGTTAACAACTAACCACTAGGTGGCAGTTAAATACACAGTATCTTTATCAAGGCAGTTTGGATTAAAACATTGTCTATGATGAAGCTTGATTTTTTGTACATATATTTTTTTCTCTTTTAATACTCAGAGCTATTCTTACCAAAGAAGGAAGACTGAATATTCTAGCTGAATAGAAAACAGTTTTTTTTTTCTTTTTCTATTTGTGGCATATCAAAATAAATTAAATGTGTAAACATGCACTGATTTATGCACCATTTCACTCTTTAAAATGTATTTTTGAGATAAAAATCATTGAATTTCTTGAAATTACTTCGCAGTGTGAGATGTGAACAGGAATGAACAGTTCAATAAACAAAAAAACACTTTTTACCTGATTTTCCATATAAAAAGTACTGAATATGCAGTGACTTAAGAACCTCATGTTGCCTAGTGGAAATCTGCATCATATAAAATGAGAAATGGTGCTATTTCTTTGTATACTAAAAAGTCTTGAACAACCAGTGTTCAGACTGAAGTAATAAAAATGTTTGGCAACATCTCCCCCCACCCCAAAATGGGATAAATACATTAAACTAATTGAATATGAAAACAAGTTTTTGAAATTCAAACTGATTTTATATTTAAAAAAGCATGACCTTTTATAACCTCAAATTATTTTTGAAAGTAGGTAGGACTTTATGTTTTACTTTTCAAATATATATCATTTCATGTTTATATACTTAAATATTCATATAAAATTATTTCTGAAACTTAGATGGATTTTTTTTCCAGTTTTTAAAAGGAGAGCAATAGGCTTGAAATGTATAGGTTTACCCGGAATCCTCTATGGAGTCTGTCTTTCATAATTCCAATAAATTCTTTATAGCTTAATTGATCATCTTTGTCAACGTCAAAAATCTTGAAGACCGTGTTTACTAAATGTGGTGAAAGTTTGAGGCCAGTGGCTACATAGACAGCACGCTTAAATTCATCTAGATAAATGACACAGAAAAGGAGTAAACCATTAATATTATTTTTATGTGTTACTAGCAAAGTTAAAATGGAAGTCCCCCCCCCCAAAAGAAAAACATGGGTCATGATCTTATATTAAGTAATTCTTTTCATTAATCATCCTATCCTTCAGGGAACAAAAAATTTTTGTGGTTTTGGTTAAAAGGGCCTGGTATCAACCACAGATACTTTAGAGGTTATTAAAGTGAATAAGTTCTCAAGGAACTTACAGTTCAGATGGGAGATGAGACACCTGCCCAAATAATCACTGCACAGGACCATGCAGAAAGCAGCAACAGAGCACCATGGGAATTTGGAAATGTACAGTGAGTGTCCTGTAGTGTGGAGCCGGGGAAGCCTGCCGGTTTGCACATGAGCTGAGCCCGGAATAGAGGACTTCAGCTGGCAAAGATGAGAGGAAATGGCAGATGACGACACGGAAGAACAAAGGCGGGGGCGGGGCTGTGGGGATGGACAGGAGCACAACGCACGTTCAGAGCATGCGCAGCCTGGACACACAGAGGCTGGGCCGCTTTGACTTTGAGGCTCTGACTTTGAAGAACCTGTGTGTTCTTCAACAGGCAACTGGGGAACTGAAGAGTTTTCGGTGTGTCAAGAGTTGACAAATCTGTTTTATAGGACGGTTATTCTGTGTGTTGTCCAGGGAACATGGAAGAGGAGGGTGGATAATGGCGGGAGTACCACTGATCTGGCTACAGCAGTAGTTAAATTAAGTGGTAATAAACCTGAATTAAGGTGCTAGAAGTTGCAACAGAAAAAGAAAGGAAAAAAAAAAAAAAGGCAGATCTATTCCTAGCTAGCACCTGCCAAGAATGTTTTTCATTTCCCAGTTCCACAAAGTAAAGGAGCAGCCTTCCATTCTGAACCAGGTAAGCAGGTACTGACTCTTTTTCTCTTTTTAAGGTTGACTCTCTTCCCTTTTTAAGGGTGATTAGTAGATTTATTGGGCTTCCCTGGTGGCTCAGATGATAAAGAATCTGCCTGCAGTGCAAGAGACCTGGGTTCGACCCCTGGGGTGGGAAGACAGCCCCACCCCCCCGCTCCCGGAGAAGGGAAAGGCTGCCTACTTCAGTATTCTTGCCTGGAGAATTCCATGGACAGAGAAGCCTGGCGGGCTACTCGTCCAGATTTATCATGGCAATAAAACACTGGTGTGTTAAGGCAGGGCTCCTAAAGGTTTTGGTTTTAATTTTTGAAAAAAAGGTTTTTTGACTGCACTGCATGTGAGATCCTAGTTCCCCAATCAGGGATCGAACCCATGTCCCCTGCAGTGAAAGCATGGAGCTTAACCACTGGACTGCCAGGGAAGTTCCAAGTTTGGTTTTAAAACACTAAAATGCGTTAAGAACATCGAGATCAGTCAAAGGGTGAAATATGACAATTTTTCAGGTTTCTTTTACTCAATGAAAAAGTGAATAAAGCTATGGAAGGGATTCATTGTGTTTTGGAGAGAGAATTGTCATGTAGGGGCTCCAGTGTGCCTTCTCCCTAGAACTTGGTAATAAAATAATGAGACTGTCCTCTGAAATTAAACTGGGGGATTAGCACTTACTAGATATGGCATATATAAAATCACTGTAAAGATATAACCAACAAGTCCTTATATGGCAAGAATATTTAAAAATGATATGACCACAAGGGAAGGGAAAATGGTCACAGAATCCTGGGAAAGGACTTGGCTTGTAAAGCCTCCCTACAGGGAAGGAAGGAGCTGGCCCTGAGGGCAACAGCATTCTGAATTCTAGGGCAGTTGTAGTTTTTAAGTAAAACTGTCATTTTTATATAACATTTTTAAGACTCGGTTAATTTAAGTCCATCTCTAAGAGGTGGCTTTGCTGACAAAATTCGGGTTTCTGAGCCAGCAGAGAGTACGGGTCAAGTCAGTAATATAAACAAATAATATGAATGTCAACCTGTGAGGATGTATGTGGCATGGCTGGCTGGCCCTTCTATAGGGAGACACATACCCCTCCATGTTACTAACGGCCATGAGGTTTTTTCCTCTTTGAACCTTTACAAACATCATTAGCTTTGCCCCATAATATGCACTGTTATACCAAAATTTAGAATATTTCCCTAAACTGTGCTTAGGGAAAATGAACTTCTCATTGAAGTATACACCAAACTTTCAGGCAAATGCATGATGAATGTGACAGACATATCTAGTTAATTTGCTGTCAAAGGTTGCTAAAGACTTATGGTTTGCTCAATCACTGGTGAGGAGAATGGGCTTCCGCATGGTGACCAATGAAGACCCACCCTCTGTCCTGTCCTAAAGCACATGGTTATGAGAAGGAGGGAAACTGGAAGAAACAGATTTTAGGGGGAGGGGAAGATGGGAGGGAGCAGAAATAGATGCTTGATAATGTCTGCTAAAACACTAAATGCATTTGTATGTGGAGTTAAAGCTAAATATTTGTAGGCTTGTTATTTTTCCTTATAACTTAACCAAATAATTCCCTTTGTCAGAAGGGATATTTGTCTATTTCACCATTCTTCTATTTTGTTTCAGTTTTAAAAATTATCCTGTTGTTTAAATTCAAGTAAAATATTTCTTAAAATATTACATATATTAAAAACTTTATATATATATCTACTCATCTCTCTATTATTTTATATATATTTATACATAAATAAATATCTGGAATAAAAAAAAAAGAATTATGGTTTGCTTTTAATTTTTGAAAGTTTATTACTTACCTTGTCCTATAGAACGACTTGCAAAATTATACATATTCAGAGCTATTGCAAAGTCTTCTAGGTTGTTCAAAAACTGGAAAAATGACCTGAATTCATCAAATGTAATGCCCTATATTGGGAAAATACATGTAAATATATTTAGCATTATCAAATTAATTAAAATAAACATCCACACTTACTAGAAATAAATACACTAAGCCTCAGCAATATATCTTCTAAGTAAATATTTCCAGGGTACTTTCTGAAACCTTCTTTCTCCAAATGGAATGTAAAATTCCACTCAATTTTTTCCCATGGGTAATGTTGCTACTATTAGCAATGATAGGTGAAAACACTGTCATATCAGCACATAGTTTAAAAAAATGCTACAATAAAAATAAACTTAAAGTCTCAATTTTATTTCAAGCCTGGATTTTTTAAGCCTTAAAAGTAAATATGATGGTTAAGAAAGAAAAATTTACAAACTTTCTCCTGTACATGTATTCTTTAAATTTGGCATTAGGTCATTAATGCTTTTATAATGACAAGGCAAAATAAAAATGTCCAAAACCCCACAGCACTGTGTTTTTACTTGTTCCTGTTATGATAAGGCAGCCAGCACAGTGGAAGGAGGTGCAATGTACATAGAGCTCAGGAGGCCCAGCACCGGGGCTTAGGGTAGAATCATGGACGGGACTCAGTAATGTTATTTACATAAAATAAAATCAGTGCCACTGTTAAAGCTGCAGTTCAACAGGAGAGTTACTTAAAGTAAGCACAATGTATCTCTGATAATACAAATTTGGACATGAAGAGCTGTATTTAATTAATGTGTTCTTCTTAGCAAAATGAACAAAACTGAGAGAGAAAAATAAACTGAGGAAGGAGCAGAGGGCCAAGAGCTCAGGCTTAACAAATTCTGACCTTCCTGCTGGGGCAGCAGCAGAGGGGAAACTTATTATATAAATAACATTTACATAATAGGTAAGTATGTATTAGGTTGGAAGGATAGACCTCATTGAGAAGTAATGTAGCGAGCCATGTGTATATCTGAGAGCTTCAGGGAATGTCTATCTCCTTTCCTAGTCCTCATGACCTTTGGTCCTCTTCATAATATTTACCATTATCTGAAAAGATATCATTTACTATTTTTCCTTTACTTGTTTGTTGTATCTCTCCAATGAAATGTATTTCCATGAGAGAAGGATTTTGTTATCTTATCACACTATCTATAGTGGCTAGAATAAGGCCTAGTAAACAGCAGAATGCTGCTGCTGCTGCTGCTGCTGCTAAGTCACTTCAGTTGTGTCTGACTCTGTGCGGCCTGGCCCCATAGCCGGCAGCCCACCAGGCTCCTCTGTCCACAGGATTCTCTAGGCAAGAATACTGGACTGGGTTGCCATTTCCTTCTCCAAAACAGTAGAATAAAACCTAGTAAATACTATAAATAATAGCTTAATATCTCCTAGACAAATGAGTGGAAATGAAAAAGCATTTTAGAAATGCAAACTGCTACTGAAATACAATTAGTTGTGTTTCTTTTGGAGAGATGGAAATGACAGGAGAAAGGAAAGGCAGAAGTAAGATGTGGCAGGAACACCACTGGCTGAGTTTTGGGTTTGAATCCTTGGTAAGTGTCTTAAGTGCCTGAGAGCCTCAGGTTTCCATTTTCTAAAAGAAAGTTGTCAATATTTGGAAGGTTGCTCTAAGGATTGATGAGATAATGCAGAAAAAAAAGAAAAAAGAAAAAATCAGTGAGAATCAATGCTGGTTCACTTGCCATATTTTCCTTTCTCATTGTAATGATTTATTACGTTTAAGATATGATATGCTTAGTCGCTCAGTCATGTCTTGACTCTTTGTGACTCCATGGACTGTAACCCACCAGGCTCCTCTGTCCATGGGATTCTCCAGGCAAAAATACTGGAGTGGGTTGCTTTGTCTTCCTCCAGGGGATCTTCCTGATCCAGAGATCGAACCCAGGTCTGCACTGAAGGTGGATTCCTTACTGTTTGAGCCTCCAGGGAAGTCCAAGAAAACTGTCTGTTTAAGATATCTCTATCAATTAAAAGTTTTCAGAAGCTGAATTTAACTTAAAAGGAAACTTTCTATTTATTATTTTTTTGGCTACCCTACGTAGCTTGCAAGATCAGAGTTCCCTGACCAGGCCATGGCAGTGAAAGCACAGAGTCCTAACCACTGGAATGCCAGGGAATTGCCCAAAGAAAGTTTCTTATTTTGAAATAATTTTGTGTAAAAAAATAGTTACAAAGAGTTCAAATGTAAAACTGTATATGTAAAAAGCAGTACAGAGAGTTCCCTACACACTTCACCTTAGAACTGAATTTTTTGAATTATGTATTTTTATAATTTTCCACTGGATAAAGGAGAAAAAGCAGATACCTCAAGGCCCTAAATAATACACCAGTAGCTTGAGAAAATAGTACAGTTTCCAATATTCATTCTTAGGGAAGTGTCTATGAATTGGGAGAAATTTAGTTCAACATGTAAAACAGATTAAAAAAAAAAACCCTAAGAGATTATATAGACTAATAGTCAAAAACATCAAGTCCTTTTTTCCTCATTCCATGGGGACCTGCAGAATTGTTAGCACCGTCACAGTGTATCCATTTTAAACAAAGTCAAACTGTTTGCAAGTTTTCCTTGGATAGATTAACTTGATCCTTCTACAAACACAAATAGAAGGCAATACATCCCAAACATCCCCTGCTTTAAGAGGTGCTTGTAACACCAGTTCTATTCGGTTGCAGTGATGCATTCAAATACCACTAGATAATGTAACTGCTCAGAACTGCTGACAAAATATGTGCTACTAAACAAACAGACAATCAGTTGTCCCAGGTTCTTAACCATTCATGCCGTCCAAACTCTTTGAAAAACCTCACTTCAACTACTGATAAAATCATTCACTCATCAATAGCTGTCTTCCAGTGACCTTTTATTAAGGGTATTAGGGAAATGAATAAAGTGTGACTGAAATGATGTCAATATAAACTATTTTATATGAGGTGATGTTTACATAGTAGCCAAAGCATATAGCTCAGCAGAATTCTCTTGAAAAATGATATTCATAATGTGAATAAAACAACTGTTGATAACATTAAAGGTTTTCAACATGTCTAAGAAAAATAAGGGTAAAAACAAATTAAAAAATTAATAATTTTTTAAAAAGAAAAATAAGGATATGTACCCAGAATTTTAAATTCATCAATTTTTAAAATTTAGCAGAGCACTTAAGACACATAGGAACAAAGAGTGGAATATATTCAAAGTGTGTATGAATCCACAGGGGAGCAGAACTAACAGGACAATATATTTTACAGACCTATAGAATTACAAGCTAATAACATACTGTTAACAAAATAAAAATGAGGATCAGATACCTTTTCTTCAGGTATACTGTAACGCACATTTTCCAAAAATACTGATGTATTTTCCACATTTGTATATCGTAAAAGAATATGAGCAAAGTCTTCTTCACTGATAGTATTCATCCCATTAGAGTAGGAAAGGAATTCTATTTCTAAAACTTCTGTTTGGAGGTTATCCATGAACCTATGACAAAAAATGTATAAGCAATGAATAAGATAAGTGAAGAGAGATAGTAACAGATACTTAGCCTCTGAAGACTTTTGCTCCTTACTCTGTAAAATGGGCATAACAACAATACCTTGCAGGGTAGTGATCAGACTTAAAGGAGTTAATGTGTCCTGCTTAGTATTTACTATCGTAAACACTGTATACATGCTTATTATTACTTATTGTCACTGTGGCTCACTAAGACTAAGACTAAGGAATTGGTAATATTCTTTCTTCTGAACACATAGGAAATAATCCAGATATCTAGACTTTTTTTTTTAATCATTCAGTGACTTCCTACTATATTTATCAATATGACTACTGGTACACAGGCACTGATGGAAGTGGATATTTGTTATAGAGAGTATCTTTAGCTAAAATGAAAGCAGCAAAGAGGTGAGTGTCACTGCATTAGATGACTCCTTTCTGACTTTAGCATGTTAACTTTTTCAATATGAGTATAAAAATTAAGCTCACCTATAAAAATCTTCAAAGTTGAGCTCAGCTTTTCCTTTCTTCCCAAAAAAGTGTACAAGAAGTGTAGTATCTGTTACTAAGTTTGTAATGTCATCAGCACGCTTAAAAAAAAAAATTACAATTTGAAAGTTAGTTACAGCAAAATAGAATAGGAATATCCAATATCCCCCAAAGAATGTAAATATATTAACATTAGAGTAAAAAGCATAAAGATGTATCAACACATGCCATTACAGTTAACAAGAAGTTCAAAATGTGAAAGCAGAATTATAGATGAAATTGATGTTTATCTTCAAAAAGCTTAAAGCTCTGATTATATAAGAAGTATTCAACCTCACATTGTGATTTGAGTCTTTCAAGGCCCTTTATGTGACAATAAAGATACTAAAGTGTTAGTTACTCAGTTGTGTCTGACTGTTTGCAACCCCATGGACTGTAGCCCACCAGACTCCTCTGTCCATGGGATTCTCCAGGGCAATAAGACTGGAGTGGGTTGCCATGTGTTCCTCCAGAGGATCTTCTTGACCCAGGGATTGAACCCAAGTCTCCAGTATTGCAGGCAGATTCTGTACTGCCTGTCACCAGGGAAGCCCCTATGTGACACTAGATTAGTATAATTTTTGAGTAGTGCTTAAAAGGCTCTACTACTTTGACCAATAACTTTAGGTTGAGGAGGTAGACTTATGTAATGGAAAGAAGACAGGATTTGAAATCAGAAGACCTGAGCTTACTGACTTTTTTGATCATCGGCTTCCTTACCTGTAAAATGGGAAAAACCCTATCTGTAATAACCATTTTGAGTATAAAACTAGAATGTGAGTATAAATGAAATATACAAATGTCCTTATTGGTAGTCATAAGATGTTTTGGACAAAAGCATTAAAACCTTTCGAGGGGGAGAAGATATCTCCTGTTAATTACAGACATTCTTCTGTGATTGTGCATAATCAACTCTAGTCAGTTTATTATCCAAGGAACAGCTTAACTTAGTAGGGGGAGGAAATATCAAGATATTGAGAAGCATGCCTAAATGGAGCATAAGAGTGGAGTCTCAAGCTGATCAGAAGTCAGCAAGAAGGAGTAGAGTATCCATCTGCAGACCAGAGGGATGAGATGTGGAAGGGGTCAGGATGGCTAAGAAGAGGAGCAGGGGACAGGTTTTAGAACAAGTTGCTATTTCACAAATACGCAGTAGTGTGATAAGCAAAGGAATAATGAACTCAAGAGTCAGATTTCTGAGCTTTAAATCCTGACTTTTTCCCTCATTGGTTAAGTGGCCTTGGGGAAGTTAATCTCATTGAGGATATTATTATCCTCAGGAATAACAACAGTACTTACTCTAAAGGGTTGTTGTGAGGATTAGATAACCCGTGTTAGTCAGCACTATCACTGGCATATTGTAAATGCTCAATAAATGTTAGCTATTATTATTCATTTCTGTCAAATCTGTATATTCCAAGAAGTTGAAAAAGGACTAGACAAGACAGGAAATAATGTTGGAACTTAATGCAAAAAAATATTTTTACATGGTACACTCTTACTTCTTTTGTGTTATTGAAACCACATATATTATACAGATCTAATAAAATGCCTTACAATGAGAGGATATAGGAACACTAAAAGTTAGTGAACTCAGATAACATAATTACGAATGTTTTCCTCTGGTGTTGTCATGTTCCTGACCTCGAGACATAATACACTGAAATGAGATGGCTTTGTTTCACACAGCTTTTAAATAATGACCTCATTCGGCCAGTTTTTCTCATGCCCATTGAGCAGAGCAAATCTTCATTTACAGTCTTTCATCATCAAAATCTTATTAGACTTAGGTTGCACTTATCCAGATAATCCAGATCCACAGAGGCATAAATAACAGTTGGACATTAGAGAGAAAAATTAGAAAATGGAAATGGTGAAAACCTTTTCCCCTCATTCAGTGAAACACAGTACTGTTGGCAGTCATTGAAAACTATACCAGTGTCCTTGGTATCCTAACAGTGTTATATAACTTAAATCACAGGAGCACTGAGACAAAAATAGAGACTTTATCCCTTTGATTCTTGTGCTTATTGTTAAAATAAAATGAATTCAGGTGTTTTCATAACAAAGCAAAAAAAGAACCCCATGGGCCATTTACATGAAGAGCCATTATCTAACTCTGTTTTGACTAAAAATTACTTTAAATGACTTCATCAAAAATGAAATACATTAAAAAACCTGCATAAAATAAAAATATGTCAAATTATTAAAGAGCTTTAAGAAATTCTTTCAATGTATTTTTATTGATTATTATGTGATAATAATCTTAAAAGCTCTATTCAAGGGCTGGAGGAAACCTTCAAACTCTTGATATGTTAGTAAAGGTTTTAAATAACCTACTAAAACTTATTAAGGCTTAGTAATGTTTAAAGCAAATAAGAAAAAAATCTAAATTTCATCTGTAAAGCTCAAAACAGTTTGTATAATTCCAGTACTCACAGACTGTATTCAACAGTTGCACAATAGACATATTGTACTATGAATTTATTATCTTATTTTGGTTAGAAAGTGGTATAATTTTTCTGAAAGCGGCATACTCAAATTTTCATTATCACAGGGTTTTACTATCATTGAAAAAATCTATGGTTAGAAACAGCTCTGAAATAAGTGTATGAGAGGCTAATCTCAAGTTTACCTACATTATGTAAAGAGACCTGCTTTACTCTCAGTATTTACATTTTTAAATATAAAAGAAACAAAGAAATACAAATATATATATATCTAAGCTTTCTTTCTGAACTAATCTGAATCCTGAAATACTGATACTATTAACAATTCAATGTTACACTGGCATCAGTAATAACTGATAAGGAACTATGAGTTGGAATTTACAGCTAATTCTGTTTTCATTCCAATCCCAAAGAATGCTCAAACTACCGCACAACTGCACTCATTTCATATGCTAGTAAAGTAATGCTCAAAATTCTCCAAGCCAGGCTTCAGCTATACGTGAACTGTGAACTTCCAGATGTTCAAGCTGGTTTTAGAAAAGGCAGAGGAACCAGAGATCAAATTGCCAACATCCGCTGGATCATCAAAAAAGCAAGAGAGTTTCAGAAAAACATCTATTTCTGCTTTATTGACTATGCCAAAGCCTTTGACTGTGTGGATCACCATAAACTGTGGAAAATTCTGAAAGAGATGGGAATACCAGACCACCTGACCTGCCTCTTGAGAAATGTGTATGCAGGTCAGGAAGCAACGGTTAGAACTGGACATGGAACGACAGACTGGTTCCAAATAGGAAAAGGAGTACGTCAAGGCTGTATATTGTCACCCTCCTTATTTAACTTCTATGCAGAGTACATCATGAGAAACGCTGGGCTGGAAGAAGCACAAGCTGGAATCAAGACTGCTGGGAGAAATATCACTAACCTCAGATTTGCAGATGACACCACCCTTATGGCAGAAAGTGAAGAGGAACTAAAAAGCCTCTTGATGAAAATGAAAGAGGAGAGTGAAAAAGTTGGCTTAAAGCTCAACATTCAGAAAACTAAGTCATGGCATCCGGTCCCATCACTTCATGGGAAATAGATGGGGAAACAGTGGAAAGAGTGTCAGACTTTATTTTTTGGGGCACCAAAATCATTGCAGATGGTGACTGCAGCCATGAAATGAAAAGATGCTTACTCCTTGGAAGGCAGTTATGACCAACCTAGATAGCTTATTAAAAAGCAGAGACTTACTTTGCCAACAAAGGTCTGTCTAGTCAAGGCTATGGTTTTTCCAGTGGTCATGCATGGATGTGAGTGTTGGACTGTGAAGAAAGCTTGAGTGCCGAAAAATTGATGCTTTTGAACTATGGTGTTGGAGAAAACTCTTGAGAGTTTCTTGGACTGCAAGGAGATTCAACCAGTTCATCCTAAAGATCAGTCCTGGGTGGTCATTGGCAGGACTGATGCTGAAGCTCCAATACTTTGGCCACCTCATGCGAAGAGTTGACTCATCAGAAAAGACCCTGATGCTGGGAGGGATTGGGGGCAGGAGGAGAAGTGGGGGGGCAGGAGGAGAAGGGGATGGCAGAGGATGAGATGGTTGGATGGCATCACCGACTCAATGGACATGAGTCTGAGTAAACTCCGGGAGTTGGTGATGGACAGGGAGGTCTGGTGTGCTGCGATTCATGGGGTCGCAAAGAGTCAGACATGACTGAGCAACTGAACTGACTGAACTGAATGTTAGGAAGGTAGTAACAGAGATAATCCTCAATAATTATTTTACCTGAAAACACAAGTTTTGTTTTCTTTTCATTTTTCTTCATACTTCCCTCCATCCAATTTATTTTCATGATGTTTTAATTAAATTAGCCGGCTTATAGCTGTGGATTGATTACAGTCAATGGTGTGCTAGTAAACTAGCTTGCAAAGGGGAAAAAAAGCCAGATTTGTGGTGTTTGCCAATGTCTAATACACTCCTATCACGGCCACTTTGAAGGTACCAATGGAATGTCACAGAATGCTGGGTTGGGAAGAGATGTGCTGTAAAAGCCAGCCCCAGCAGAAGTCTGAAAGAGCGATAAACATCTTCAAGAGAGCCTATGCGAATCTTACATATAAGATCTTTGGGTATATGTACGAGCCAACTGGCCTTCTGATATTAAACCTCCCAAGATGTAAATCAAAGCAGATTGTGTCTAGCTGCAAGAATTTCTTTCTAGTAGTTAAATGAGATTAAAGACAGGCTGGAGGCTGAGAGGTGAACAGTCCGTGGTGGCGAGAGAGCAAGACAGAACCGCAAATTTGAAGCTGGGCACAGCTGGCTTGTAGGGACTCTAAGGACTAGTGTCCCCAGTTGCTCTTACTTTTAGGCACTGACTACTATGTGCCTACATAAATGATTACAGAATTAAGCACTTCTAAAATATGTGTAAGTGGAATATCCATTAGCACTTTATGCCCCAAAATAGCTAGACTTTAAAAAGTTGATTTTTAAATATTAATAATTACTAGCCATAATCATCATATTTATATATCACATACAGCCTAAATATAGGGCAAAATGCTTTAGTTTACTTGTTTTAGGATTTTAAAATTGAGCACAAGTGGCAAAATTAGCATTTCTAAGTGTCTACCATGCTCTCGAGATGTCAGTTGAGTAACACTGTATATATGGGTAACAGAAGTGATCCAGTTTACTTCTCTAGATATTTTTAAGTGTAATTTTTAAAAACAAAACTTTAGAAAAAGAAATGAGAAGCCAACTTTAAAGACAAAAAGATAATGAAAAAATACATTTCTTGGTATTTACTGAAAAAGTCCTTTATGATAAGCCAGCCAGTCATCTCTAATAAACTTTTTAAAAATTCTTAATAGGAAACATAGAACAGTATTCAATCTACAACACATAGCCCATCTTTTAAAATGACAAATTCCTATTAACGGGCAAAAAGAGAGTGGGGTGGTGGGAGCCGTCAGCCTGAGTGCAGCAAAAAGGTACATGTCTCTATGGAATTCAAAAACAATAATGAATGATGTAATGGTCAGTCTGCTTTTCATTTTCCATGCACTGGCAATCCTAACCTATGTCAAGAGAAAATGTTCCTCCCTTCCTGGGCCGACCGCTCTTAGCACAATGCCCCATGCCCACCCTTGTTAAGCTGCTCACTGTGAATGGTGGGAAACTGGACTGTTTCAATCTACTCTAACTCTAAAGCATTAGATTTCTAAAGTGAAAAATAATATTTCCTTTTAATTAGGTTGGAAAGTCAAGTTTTCTACAACAAGCAGGTAGATTTAGACAATTAAAGGTGACCTTGCAGCCCCTGCCAGCACAGCTGACATATTCAAACATACCAATTTACATATAGGAATTATTGCTTTCCTGGAGAAAAGGGAAAATACAAAATACATTTTTGGTTTCATCACTGTGACTCTAAAATGAAACAAGGACCAGATTAAGAAAGTGGCACGTGGTACCAGGACCTGGCTGAGGTTCGATTATACCTCTGCGAGGTCTGAGAAGAGTGCTTGGCTTGTGTTACGTCTCAGTGTATCCCAGTAGCTTCTGGAGACGAGTTCCTCAGCGTCTGTTTTAAGTACCTGTGGAAGTTTTTAAGAAGCACAACTGAAATCTAAAGAACAGTCCCAAACAGTGATAATTTATACATCTAAATCTCTTCTAGCCAAACTTGGAAAGAAAACACATTAGCTTACCTTTTTTGTTTTCTGCTGCACACAACAGTATTGTATTACATCGCTGGTAAACCCAGGCCATTTTCAAAGTGGTAATGTACATAACCACCATTCCTAAGTACAATGTGGCTTTGTAAAAAATCACCTCCTTCACTCCCTGGCCCATGCCCTTCTACTGAGACATATATCACTTCTAAGAAAGTATGAAATAAAAATTTTATTCACACCTGTGTGAAGTAAATTCATTTGGAAGAGACTTTGGTAATTTTATAGCAACCTAGGAAAATTTTGCTTAACTTAAAAATGAATTGTTAGCTAGCATATGTTAGTGCATCAAAGAATCAAAATGACCACACCCATACGTTAGAGAAAATTTAGATTAATCCAAAACTTGTCAGAAAGAAGTATGTGAGTTTCAGGCAAACTACTCAGAGCTAACCAACGATTTGGTAAGTGTGTCTATGGTAAATAGATCAAGTACTTTCTGGTTTAATCCCAAGGATACAGCACCAGCTTCTACCTCAGCACAGGCTAGTCTGATGGTGATAATCAAGATGAAGAAGTGTTGTCTAATCTTCATATGAACTGTAGAACTTCAAGCTTAACTTGGGCTGTATAAACAAAAGTAATTAAATCTGGTTTCTGTCAGAATTTATCAGGGAAGATTTCACAGATTCTCAGGCTTGGTCTTCTTTGGGTTACTGTGAGAAGAAAATGCTGCATAATGAACTTAGGAGTGAGTGGCTGATGATGAGAGAATTCTCATTTCTTGTGTGTGTTAATTTTCAAAAGTCCAGTGCCCCTAATGAAATTATAAGCATCTGGGAATTATTTCAAAGACCTATATTTTAATTCACTATTATGAACTAGAAAATACTGCCTACTGCCCATATTTTAATAAACTCTTAATAAAATGTTAATAATAAGGTATCATTGAGCAGGAGTCACTTATATAACATAGATGTATTTACTACCATAACAGGAAATATAGTAATATGGCAAGAGAGTGTGCTCATCACCCCCTTTAGTAACTAAATAAGCTTTTACCAAGCAAAATTAGCTGAGTAGAGAGCTAACACAGTTCTTTTTCTTTTCCATAGATATAATAGAACTTTGATAAATGGTTACTAGATTAAATACTCTGCCACGTTATCTAAATATTTTGACTGTGGATATATTTTTAAACTGTAACTAGAAAGTTGGTATACAATAAAGAAAAGGATTGTTAAACCAATGAAACTAGAAAATAAGGCTTACTGCACAATTATTAGGAGGATAACAGGAGATTTGTTTTGTGAAGCCAGGCCTCTCCCCTACTTTCAAACACTGGTCACCATCACCCCTCCCAGTCATCATACACAGACTTTGATGACATTAAAAATATTTACAACATATGAAAGGATAAAATTAGTTTGAAAACCTATATTGACATGGATCACTATAGGAAAAAATGTATGTTCTGAGAATAGAAAAGAGAGAGAGGAGGAAGAAAGGAAGGAAAAGAGGAAGAGAGAGAGAAAGGAAGAAGCTACAGTATGAAGAATTCAGGTACTGGAACCCTAACCCCCAAGGCGATGGCATCATGAGCAGGTGGGGCGTTTGGGAGGTGATTAGGTCATGAGGCCAGAGCCTGCGAGGATGGGATTGGTGCCCTTAGCAAAGAGGTCTGAAAGACCTCCCTTCCCCTTCCACCACCTGAGGACACAGTGAGAAGGTGCCAGGAAGTAGGCCCTCAGCAACTACCACACTGAGGCTGCTGGCTTGCGGACCGTGGACTTCCACAGCTCTCAGAACTATGAAAAAATGATTATTCATCATAAGCCATCCACTTTATGGTATTTTTTATATTGCAGTTCAAAGACAGCAGGAAAGAAGGAAAGAAATAAAATGAGGGAGAATGGGAGGACAGAAGAAAGGAAGAAAAGAGATGGTTAGAGGGAAAAAAAGACTGATTTAGAGATGGGAATATACCACTGTGGGAAGCAGAACAGTGGTCCCTCAGGTTGTTCATGCCCAGACAGGCAAATAAACTATATATATAGTATATTTGAGAAAGGTTATACCCAGCGATAATGCAAACTAGAGGAAAAAAAAAAAATCCCAAAATAGCAGCCCATAGAATTGGGCAGGAAACTGTCTTTGCTATTAGTGATATTTAAAAACACAGAAAAATAGAAACAAAGAAAAGAAAATTACATCTTTATAATTTGCGCCAATATGACAACTGTGCCCTGAGACACCATAGTCTGAGAACTGTAATTTAAAGTCACACGGGACTGCAGGTCTCTGCAGTGTATCACAGAAATACACCCACACACAAGTCTTCCTGGAAAACACAAACCCTTAACCCAGCCCTGCAAGAATCACCACAGACACATTCCAACAAATACATGCTCATAATATGAGACTGCATGCGTGATAAGTCACTTCAGTCATATTGGACTCTTTGCAACACCAGGGACTTGTATGTAGCCTGCCAGGCTCCTCTGTCCATAGGATTCTCCAGGCAAGAATACTGGAGTGGGTTGCCATGCTCTTCCATGAAAGATGACTTGTAAGTCATCACAAGTAGGAACTAGCAGAAAAAAAGAAACAATAGAACCAGAGCTGCAGATTTCAGATATTGAAATGACAAAATATGGAATACAAAATAAGCTTAATAAATTTAAAGAGTATGAAGTTGCATGTGACAGGATTTTTTTTAGGAAAAACAGACTACTGAAAATTATTAGGGTAATCAGAAAAAGTAAAACTTCTAGAAATGAAAAACAAACCACTGAAATTTAACTGAACTGAACTATATACAGCTAGAGAGAAAAATCATTAAACTTAAAGGTAATATGAATAAACTATACAGAATGCAGTGTGAAAATAAATAATGTGGCAAATTAATGTGGCAAATTAAAGAGGAGTTGACAGACATAAAACATGAATATCTATGAAAGCTCTAGAAAGTCACAGTTGAGAAAATGGGAGAAAGGAAACATTCAGAGAGACACTGGCAGTGAACATTCAAGAAATAATGAAAGCAAACAATCCTCATATTTGAGAAGCCCAATAAATTTCATGATAAATAAAAGCAGAAAGATTGTAAGAAAATTGTAGAATACCAAAGGCAAAGAGAACCTTAAAAGCACCCAGAAAGAAAACAGATTAACTACAAAAGAATAATTAGACCCAGAGCAGACTTTTCAATTTCAACAATAGAAGCCAGAAGACTAGAATGACATCACAATTTGCTGAGAACAAATGTCAATCTATCTAATAAAATTATCTTTCAAAATAATGGCATGTATACATATATCAAATCATTATACACCTGAAGCTAATATAACATTACATGCAAATTATGTCTCAATTAAAACAAACAAACAAATCCACAGAAATGGAAGAGACTGGTGGTTGCCAGAGGCAAGTGGCTGGAGGTGGGAGGAAACTGGGTGAAGGTGGTAAAAAGGTACAAACTACCAGGAATAAGATAAGTAAGTCTTGGGGATGTAATTAACATACAGCCTGTAACTACAGTTAACAATACTGTACAGTGTACTGGAAGCTGCTAAGACAATACATCTTAGTTTTCATCACAAGGAAAAAAAAACTGCAACTATGTGATGGGACAGATGTCAACTAGACTTACTGTGGTGATTATTTTGTGATAAATACATACATCAAATTATATTATACACCATAAACTGATACCATGTTATATGTCAATTATATCTCAATAAACTGGAAAAAAAAAATAAGGGCAGAATAAAGAGATTTCCTGAGAGAGGGTTTTACAAAAATTATCAGAAGATCATCACTTGAGGATACACTTTGTGGGTATAAGATTATAAGATTTAAGAAGGGGGAAATTAAAGAGGAAATTACTGAGAAAAGAATAGCAAATATATAACTAATTTGAAACAAACATGGCTGACACATATTTTAGAAGTCTAACTTGGTGGATTAAAAAAGACAAGGGTAGATAGACGTTGTTTTAAGTACACATGACAGGAGCAGAAAGAATGGTACTAAAGAAATTTTAAACTCTATTTTTGAGAAAGAGAATAAAGATATGGTCCAATCTAAGACTTTATTATTTTAAGTGTATTTACTAAAATTTCAAGAATAACTACATAAAGAAAAGAAATACAGTGAATGTCTTCTAAACTAAAAATAAATCCAGGTAATACAAACAAAGAAAGGAGAAAAAAAAACAGTATAGAGAAAGGCTAAAGTAAACCCAAATAGGTTAGTCATCACAGTAATATAAACTGAATTTCCAATTAAAAAGCCCATGTTATCCACCCAGAAAAAAGAAACTGATAAAGTACACAAGATACACTGAAAATAAGACGTATCCAAAATATAAGGAAAAATAAACCAGGCTTCTAGTAATGAGAAGCTAGAAAACAATGCCAATTTTCTCACTGAGAACAATTGAAAAAACTAGACAAAATATAATGTAGATGTATCTTAAAGACATTATCTGCCTTTTGTACTGCATTTTCAGGTACAAAAGCAATGGTGGGTAAAATTTCTGAAGCCTTAGTACAATGACAGCAGTGGGACCAAAGACCAAAGTCATTACATTCTTCAGACACTGTCACATTCTTCAGTTTCATATACTCACATTAAAATAAAACTCACGTAAGGATATACTTGCTAAAGAATAGAAATCATAATTTTGTTAATTTGATCTTTGAGCACACATCTTTTTAACATTCAGTGTGAAGGGAAGCAAGCATAAAGCACTTCTGCTAATGAAGTACTATGGCTGTCTGAGAAAAAACATCCAGGTGGTGATTTGTGTTGCAAGGTAAATTAGTCACTTTTTTCATGATCCTTCATTTTTACTTGAAAGAACAACTGATAAGACAAAATATGGTTATTTAGACCTTGGTATATGGGAGACATCTTTTTGGAAAATGAACCCAGTAAGCCTGTCACTTCAAGGGAAACAACTGATAGTATTTGTTGCCAAAACAATATACTGCAACAGACTGAATACAGAAGCATCTAAGAGAAACCGGCTATCTTCTATTAAGTCAGATGTTAAAGAGATTTGAAATGACTGTAAAAATACTACTTTCCTCATTACATTTTTAAAGTTATTTTTCATAAAAAATGTTTATGATAACAAGTGAGTTTTTATTATTTTTAAATATACGAATAATTATTTTAAAATTTCTGAGTTTTAATTTCTAATATGGTAAATATAGATAAATATATCCAAAATATGAACAAAACTTCTTTGGATTCTCAATAATCTTCAACAACGTAAAGGGGTCCTAAGATCAAAACATTTGGGCACTGTTGCTTATAGTAATAAAAATGAATGAACTAGGATCATTCATTAGATTCAATAACGTAAATGAAGCTGACAATCATGAAAAAAAGTCAAAAAAGCAAGACACAGAAGAACTCATATAATACGATCTCATTTAATTGAAGATCAAAAGTGGGCAAAACCAAACTGTATCATTTAAGATACATAAAAAGGTTGTAAAATGACAAAGGAGTGACTGACATAAAAGTCATGATTGTGATTATCTTTTCCAGGAGAAGAAGGATTATGACTGGAGATATATGAAGGGGCTTCTTGGGGTATAGTAAAGGTAATGTTTAATTTCTTGATCTATATTATATAGTAAACTTCTATTATTTTTTATTTCATATTTACATTCTATCAGCAGTAAATTTCCAAACTAAAATATGTATTTTAAAAAAATCAAGGAAAGCTTCATCATTACTAGAGGTAAAAATAGATAGTAAAAAACACAAAAAGGGAAAAGTCATATGTTAACAAAAATAAAGGTAGTATATTTGACAACTAAAATAGATTTTTAACACAAACACATTTCTAGAGATCTAGGGATAGTATTTAATCAAAGATTTAATTTGCTAAGATGATTTAAGTGATCTAAATATATTCCTATAGAGGCAATAACAAGGCTTAGAAATATATGAAATAAAACTGGAATTATAGGTAGAAATTCCTATGTGTAATAATAAATTACACATAGGAATGTGTAATTTAACACACTATTTGACCAAACAAGTGGACAAAAAATTAGTAATGATAGAGATTTAAAACACATACTTAATATGTTTGATCATGCATATATTACATCCCTGTACCCCAAGTTGGAGAATACACATTATTTTCAAAGATCATTTATGAATATTGGCATTGTTTTAGTCCATAAAATGAGTTCAATGCATGTTAAAAAATTATATAATAACTGGTACATTTTTGGACTCCAATGAAATTTGGATAATAATCTTTAAAAATTTGTCAAATATAAGGCATGTCAAAGTCATGCCTTGACTTTGCATTAGTGACCTCATGTTTGCATTATTTATTCTTCTGGATGTTTTACATTTCTTTTCATCACCATAGTAAGATAATCAAGAGTTGACTATATAAGAAATATGAAAAGAATTAGGGTTGTTTGGAACAAAAAAGGCTATAATGTAACTATCTTCCAGAATAACAAAGAAGCATGTTCAATCTGTAGGAAGGGATAATCTGTAGGATTCAATCTGTAGGAAGGGATAATCTGACAGAGTAAAGGCAAAATCTACCATAGGAATGATTAAATTTTGGAACTGGCTACTACAGACACCACAGAACCTCCCTCTGTAATAGTAAAATCCAGAGGTATTGCATTTCCTGAAGGAACTTATTCCTAAAGGTAGAATCTGAGGTTATAATTAGTTCCATGAACTATACTCAAATTAGATACTTTATCACTCCAGTTGATCTACAGTTCTGGAAACTAGCAGATAATTGCCAGCTAAGTCATAACATTATACTATTATATTTGTATGACATATATCACTGATACTTCATATAAATGTTCAGGCTTTTTTCTAATTTAAATCAATTTTCCTTGTTTGGTTTGGCTGTTTTTCAAAATAGTCATTCCTTTCTGAGCAAAAATTTCCTATTAGTTTATACAACTTGAAAAATCATGTAATCCAGTGAAGACTGGATAATAAAATGACATCATGTTACATCACTTTATATGTATTTTATATTCTTAGATGGAAAAAAAAGATGTTTTAAGTAAAAAATACATATATATATGTAATCACAATAAAATGTAAATTACCTTCTTATTAAATAAACAAGCATAATATAAATGAAACATGTAATTTAAATCTGCTTCTCAATATTATTCTCTTAATGTCTAAGTAACTATAATTTGCATATGTGGTTTAAACTAGAACCATATTAGTACCTGTTTCTTTTTAACAATACTACTCTGAAATGTATTATTTTTAAAAAATGCTTGTCTCTTAAATGAAAATTATTATGAGTTTAAAGGAAATATATAAATTGCCACAGTTGGAAAAATGGCTCATGCAATGACATATTAGATTAGAAAAATAAATAACAAAGTCATAATTATTATTAACATTTATTAAGCTTCACAGGGCATGTGGCATTAGAATCTCTGAGATTTCCATCTTTCAAATTCTTATATATTTTTGAAATAATTAACAGAGAAATCTTTTTAGAATTTTAAGAGAGCAGTAGGCTTTATTTCATGGAAAACAGTGAATTTTGCAGAAAAATTTTAAAGTATCTTGTAAGGATTCAAAACAACTAGTCAGTCATAAGATTCCCATGGACTTGGCTTGTTTTCCAACCCATTCTAGGTCCATTCCTTGTGACTTAGATAAGATATTTTAGGTTTATTTTATGCTGCATCAGTCTTTAGTGTATACTTGAGTGTCAAAGAGAATTAGTTTTTATAGTATGGAATTTTTATTAAATATCAATTTCAGGAGGCACACAGCTAGAGTCTACACTATAGTGGAACCTTTCAGTAGGACAATACTTAGTAGGTCACTGTAAATTCGAGAGTTTCTCTCAGGTGGATTTGTATAATTTGAGGGATCCAAGTGACTTAAGGACATCAGGGAAAATCAAATGGACTGTGCCTTTTACATTCAGAAGAGACCATGGCCTATTCTCAGTTGTGTAGCAACTGGGCTAATCCATAAGCTATGACTTCCTGGGAGAAATAAAAGAACAAAAGCGCAGCATGAGAAGAGTACATCTGGAAGATCATTTGCAAGAACTCGCAGCTTTTTCAGGAAAAGACGAGTTTGAAGATCATAATCCTCTTTGAGAAACAACATGATACAGTGATATATTGAACATATCAAGTGCCATCTTATACAAGACTTTTGTAGAGACTAAAGGCAGTAGGCAGGCATCAAAAGTTTTAGAAAAAAAAATGGGGAGAAATACTGAGAACTAGCAAAAGTTTATCCATTAATATCTTTGGTTAAAATTAAGAAAAGACTGTACATCAGATGGAGAGATCTAGCTCTCAAAATACCTGTGTCCTGCAGGAGCATAGTCTGAGAATCTGCTCCATAAATTGTACTTAACTCTTCAAATACCACTGAAAAATACAAAAGGTCAATTACTCTACCAGAGTTTTGGGTTCTTGTTCACTCACCTTCACCTTATTTTAATCTCAAGCTAAAGAGAAAAAATTGCTCTGTAAGTTTATAGTTTTCTTATAAATCCAGGAAGGAAATAAAAACTGGGGGCTTGGTTTCACATTAGTATATTCAATAAATTCCTAAACAGTCTCGATAGTAGATCTGACTTTATAAAAGAAATAGCATTGTCAAGTATAACAGGTGAGGGCTATTTACATAAAGAACATTTAAAGGGTTGTACATACACTATTAGTAGGAGAATGGTATCCATAAAGTTGAAGACGCTGACATAGAGCACAAAGGGCCAAATGAAGTGTCACATTTCAGAATGAACCCAAGTATAGCAAAAGAAAAAAAAGAAAAAGACGACAAAATAATCAATTAGGAAGGGCAAATCATTATGCTACATTCTCTATAGAGCACGCACACAGTACAAGTGGGATAAATGTTAAAGATGAGTAGCAAAGTTTTTTAAATCTCGTATAGTTAAACATTAAGTGAACCTGTGCTCATTTCAACCACTTTCACTATAACTTTTTGATGGAACTACGGTACTCCAAAGTACGCAGCTTTCCTGAGACATGCTTCAGCAATTCCATGTGCGATGAGGGGGCAGACCTCGATGCAGCAGCATGGCAGTGGGGATGGCATGAGACCTATGCTGGAATCCTGCTCAGCGCCTGTCAGTGCTGTGGGCCCAGGCAACTTAATGAACCTATCTGAGATGGTTTTCTCTTCTGTGCAAAGGTGTGAAGACTTACCTGAGAGAAATGTAATGAGGACTAAATGAGAGTAACATGTATAACGGAGATAGTACGGACCTTAGCACATAGTAAGTGTCCCAAGAAATACGCTCATTTCTCTCTTCTGAAGCATAGTTCATTTTGATATGTAAATATTTTAAAATTTAGTCTTGCCTAATTTTTGATTTGGGGATGTACTATTCAGTTTAAAATATTCTACTAATTAAAAGAGAATTTCATGTTTCACAATTAGCTAACCTTTTTGAGTATTTATTATATTTCATACCCTGTTAAGTGGCTACACGGTTTAACTCATTTAACCCCCATAATCATCATATGTGCTCATTACTCCTATTCTAGTACAAATGAAGAAACTGAGGCACAGAAAAATTTAAGGACCTGGTTCAAGGTCACAGAAGTAATGAATGGCAGAGCTAATAGTCAAAACTTGAAAATCTGACTCCTACAATGTCTAACATAATCTATATATTGTCACCATAAGCTAAATTTCAGTTGTTTCAAAACTCAAAAACTTCATCAGTTCAGATATGCATTGTTTAAAATATGACAGCTATTAACAATGTTACCACTAATTATTACTATTATTGTAGAACACAGTAAAAAAATATTTGAAGAGAGCTGTACTGTCCTAGAGTGTTGCTTAGTTCAGAAGCTGAACTAAAGATTATTTCTGGATTGTTTTTAAGAAATAGTTCAGATAGCTAAATTCTATAAGTGAGATTCCAGGAGCATTAATTGAACTCTAAGATAAATATCTCTGGGATACCTATGGAGATAGATCAGTGTGTCTTTATCAAGCATTCGTTTCCATATAAGTAAGTGATAGAATACTTATAAGTTATTTTTATCTGTTCTTTAAAACAAGTCTCCTTCCCCATGTATTTGCTAGATAATGTTTCACTGATCTACATATGTTCATATAAAATAAGACAATTTATAATTTAGATTTCATAATTCAGATATACTTTCCCTAAATAGCCCAAGTTAATAAAGTTTTACTGTACTGCCGTTATGAACTTACTTGCATTATATCATCGGTATTAAATTTATCTCACCGGGATGCAGTGGAACTTCTGTGCTGACATGGTAGCTTTTCCCAATGTGGGTTGTCTGCTATTATTTTCCCTTTCCTCTCCCTTTGTTATTCACTTAGGTATTAGTAAAGGTTACTGATTAGAATAGGATTGTTACTTTACTGGAAGATCCATAAGTCTTTTCTGGAATTAGTATAAATAAACAAACAATTAAATCTGTATCCACTGAAACACTATCTACTTTATCACTGAGGTATACCAAAAGATTCATTAACATAATTCAACCTCCTAAATGATATTTTATCAACAACTTGCCTATCAGTCAATCACTGGCAATCCATCAAAGTTAAAATAATTGTTTACTCTTTTAGTATATTATCAATAGAGAGTGTCTCTACAAGTGTCTTCTATAATTTAGTCTATTGGGGAGGTTAAAAAAATACTGATAAATATACCATAGTCAAATATTCTGAGAAATAATAAACATTCATAATCCTGATAATCTGCTTTTATTAATATAAATACATACTTTGTAAATCTACTGGGATGAAAATGACACTCATCTGCTACAGATAACCCATGTTTAAAAAAACCTAATATATATGCTTGTAACAGTGAGAAAAATAACAAGTGTTGCAACTCTTTGAAGTTAATTATTTGAATTCCAGATAAACCAATTAAACTATTTCAAAGGGCCACTAATTTGCAAATGAAACAATTATCATTTACATACTAACAAAATTCATCATGTTTCTGCTATCTAAGTACCAGAGGAAGAAATATGATACAGTGGGTAAAAGTATAGGTTTTGGAGCTGGCCAGCCATGGGTTCAAATCTTGGCTTTGCCATTTAATAGTTATGGAATTTTGGACAAGATACTAACCTTTCCAAGTGTCAGTTTTCTCATTTATAACTATAGATAATGAGGGAACTGTTTGGTAGATTAAAAAGAAAATGCATGCAAAGCATCTAATATAATGCCTCATACTAAAGTCTTAGTACCTGTCTGTTATTTTTATTAAGTGAACCTGGGATGTTGTCAGGCTGAAATATTTACTTGGGACAAGCAAAAAGAAAACTAGAAGGAAAATGGAAGGAAATGTTGCTTAACTCTACCTTCAAAATAAAATGAAACAATACTCTTCCCAGAAGAAGAATCTATAATATGTATTTCTATGAATGCAAAGAAATGTATTATTTCCTTGTTTTTGCTTCAACATTCATATTATTATAGTACCACTAAATTTACTCACATGTATAATTAAATCTTTGCAATTCACCTTTAAATTTTTACATGCATAATGATCTGTATTAACCTATTATATGATATACCCTTCAAATCTCATGGATAACAACAATATGGATGAAAATGATTTAATGAATATGGTTATGGATACAGATGTTTAATATCAATACTTGATATAAATATTGATATCAAAGCATATAAATACTGAAGTTTTTCTACATAAGAACTTCAGAAAGTTTTCAAGAAACAGATCCAAAGTTAAGGCTTTAATTACTATTTCTCAACATGAATAAAACAATTCTTACCTAGAAAACCCACCTGAAACCATTATAAATTATTCTTACCAGCATTGCACGCTTTTCTTCATCTCCTTTAGTTTCTCTCTTTTCATTTTTTTTCCTGAATATTTCCTGAAGCTGAAAAGAAAACCAATCAAAAATCAAACACCTGATAAGGGTTTCTGGGAACCTATCTAACACCCCATGCTAGATAAACTCTAAGAACAAAGAAAACAATTAGCTTCATTACACCAGGAACATTAAAACTAGTGTGAATACATTTTCTGATACCAGTTTTTTTCCCTAAGAAAAAGGAAATAGCACCTTTGGTCCACCATATAGTTTTACTTTATGATAGTATCTCCTATAGTTTAACTTTATTGCTAAGACACAAAGACATGGAGCCTGTGGCATATACATAAAAAGAGATGAAGCCTACTGAGGAATCAAGGACACTGGACCAGAAGTCAGGGGTCTAGGCTTGAGCCCATCTTCTGTCATAAACCAATTTTATAGATGGGGACAGGTCCTCACTGGGCTCCAATTTGCTCATACATGAAATGAAGATGGACTGAATGACCTCTTAAGGTCTCTTTCAGGTAATGGTAGGAACATGGGCTCTGCATGTCTAACCTTTTGAGCAAGTTACTCCAATCATTTAAGGCTTGTTTTCCATATGGAGAATATGAATAATTTCTTACCTTAGGGCAATATTTTTTTCTCTAGCTTTAATGAGATATAATTGATAGGTCTTATAAAAATAATGTTGTGCAGAGTAAACATTACAAGCAATTACTCAGCACGTTGCCTGTCACACAGTAACTTCTCAAGAAATGTTAGCTACTATTACACATGGGCTTCCCAGGTAGCTCAGTGGTAAAGAACCTGCCTGCCAATGCAGGAGACCCAGGAGACGTGGGTTCAATCCCTGGGTTGGGAAGATCCCCTAGAGGAGGATGTGGCAACCCATTCCAGTATTCCTGCCTGGGAAATTTCATGAACAAAGCCTGGTGGGCTACAGTCCATGGGGTCACAGAAGAGTCAGACACAGCAACTGAGCACACACACCCTATTATACATGGCATTATTTCCTGTTTAAAATCCTCTTTTACACATGGAAGCTTAATCCTGTCTTTATCTCAGTTTTCTGGTGAGGTCACTGCTCTTGTCTGTGTAATTTGAACAGCTATCTCAATTCTTTTACTTCGCATAGTATGGCTAGAGCTGAAATCCAAAATGTATTCCAAGATATATAATAACAATTTAAAAATACAGTACAAACTGTAAATTATTTTATTAACACATATATTCTATACTCTTAGTGAAAGAGTTTTTCTCTTTAGCAAGCATTATTAATATTCACTTTATAAACAGGCAGGAGGATCATAGATTTTACAAATCTATTTTACAAATCTACAAATAACTCTCCCCAACTCCACCTCTGCTTTTGGGAAGTCTGAGCTGTTTATGTGCATGTGTGCTAAGTCACTTCAGTCGTGTGTGACTCTGTCCGATGCTATGGACTGCAACCTGCCAGACTCCTGTGTCCATGGGATTCTCCAGGCAAGAATACTGGAGTGGGTTGCCATTTCCTCTTCCAGGGGATCTCCCCAACCCAGGGATTGAACCCGAGTCTCTTACATCTCCTGCACTGGCAGGCAGGTTCTTTACCACTAGCACCAGCTTGGAAGCCCTTAGCCATTTACAAACAACAACAAACAATACAACATTAGTATGGCCACTGCAGAGTAGACCACTGCTTTAAAGGAAGAGCAACTTATTTTAAGAGTGTAGAGTGGAAACAAATTGAAGTTCTACAAGAATGTTTTACCTCCCACCTCCACAAACAGATAAGAGTCCCAAAGACATCTACACAAGCAGCTTCCAATGCACTGAGTTCCAAAAGGTAACCTTTAAGACAGTTAAGACAGTGGGGTGGAACTTGGCCGTGTTGCCATAGAAAGTCTGTTGGATACTGTTTCGATTATAAGGCCCATTCTGAAAGTCCTAAAGTACAGCTGTACACTATCATGACAGAGCTCCAGTGAACTAAGTCTGCCCATCTTAGGATGTTAGCAACATCTCTCTCTCTCTACTGCAATGAAACTCCCCACCTCCCCACCATGGCAAGCAGCACTGCAGTGAGGGACCCTTTGTGGGTCCAGCTCCCCAGATTGCTCAGGGGCTATACTCGGCCAAGGGCTACATGGCAGCCTTTTGACAGATCCCAGTAATTAGTTCCCTGCTTCCTTTTGAGCGCTGCTAATTTGTTCTGGTAAGGATTTCCCTCTCACCTTTTTCCTACCATGGAAAAGAATGGTTTCATAATTTCTCTTCTGTGCTCCAGCCTCTAAAGAAAATACTAAGCTATCTAAGAGGTTTTCCAAGGGATTTTTATTGACTTGTTACAAAGGAAAAACAGAAAATGAAATGGCTATTTATGTTATTTTCCCCTTCTCTTTTTGCTAAGCAAGTAGAGGTAAATATTGAGTTGCACATAAAGGCTAAAGGAAGACCTTGTTACTGGGAGGAGTAAACTAATGTTAATCTCTGTTTTGGAGAAAATCAGAAAAGGCATTTTGCCACAGACATAGATACAGGATACATGGGTAAAATGAGAAAAATTCCAGAAGGAGAGGGTGGTTAAGATGAGTGAGTAGCTGATGATGCTGCCAGACCAGCACCAACATGGGACCAGGTAGTTAAGAAAGACTGGAAGACAAATACCAAGAACACGCTTATCAGCCCTTGGTCAAAGACAAGGGAAGGCAATGGGAGAATGGGCTAAGACTGGAATACAAGGCAGCAACTAATGGAAGAGAAAAAAAAAATAATGTAAATCCTTTAAAGAGAAGGAGGGAAGTTTCATGGTAAAGAGCTGCTTGTGGCTGGGTGGCTAATATGACAGGGTCTGGGCGTGTACAACAGCCCAGGCTTGCCTGTTACTCACTCTGTGGAAAATATACATTTCAAACCTCCAGAATATGAGTAAACAATTATAATCATCTTCATGTGTGTGTGCTCAGTCACTCAGTCATGGCTGACTCTCTTGAGACCCCACGGACTGTAACCCACTAGGTTCCTCTGTCCATGAGATTTTTCAGGCAAGAATACCACAGTGAGTTGCCATTTCCTTCTCCGGGGGATCTTCCCACCCAGGGATCAAACCTGTGTCTCCTGCATTGGCAGATGGTTTCTTTATTACTGAGCCACCTCAGAAGCCCTATAATCATCTTTATACACTGAATAAATTTATATTTTTATAGTGTAAAAATAATTCAAAATAAAGTACATGAATATAATACATTTTATTAAAGTAAAAGCATAATACTTTTACTCTTTTTTCAACAATGTGCTGTGCTTAGTCACTCAGCTGTGTATGACTCTTTGCGACCCCATGAACTGTAGCCTGCCAGGGTCCTCTGTTCATGGGGATTCTCTAGGCAAGAATATTAGAGTGGGTTGCCATGCCCTCCTGCAGGGGATCTTCCCAACCCAGGGATCAGACCCAAGTCTCTGGCATTGCAGGTGGATTCTTTACTGTTTGGGCCACCAGGGAAGCCGTTTTTCTACAACAGTTATTCTAAATAATGCAAAAACATAAAAAATATAAGTAAGCAATATATGTATTGATAAAATGTAACCAATAATATACATACCACCAAAAACTCCTTTTTATCCACCATCTCATTGCCATCTGTGTCAAACATGTTGAAAGCTATTCTAAACCCTGCATGTGGCTCTGCCAGACAAAAACAGGAAAGTATTTGTGAAATGGAAAAATGTTTTCAAAGTTCAAAAGCCACATTAGTTGTAAACAATTTATATTCTGTGCAGAAATACTGTAACCAAGAAATTAAAAGCAACATGTTACTATTAGTTAAGTATAATAAAAACTATAGGTAAGTATATATACTTCTGCTTCATATATTAGCACACTTAGTAACACAGTTGATAATATACTTGAAATCTACTTGTGTGATACTTGCTGCATATCATTGACAGTAAAATCTGATTACCTTCCTTCCAAAAATAAATATTTCTTTCTTATCCAAAGTCTGTCAGTTTGTTTGAAAGGAAAATATCATCTCAGTACATTTGAAATATTTTTAATATGTCAGTTAGTTATAGCAGAAGAAAAAAAAAATACAACACAATGGACCAGCCTAAAATCCTGGGGAAATTATAACTGAAAAAACCTACAAAAAAAAAAAAAAGGTCAGGTATGAGAGATTACATACTTGGGGTTGAACTTCCAGAGGCTTCAAATACAGAAATATAAAATAAAAAGGACCTGAATAATTAATTCATTATTTCCCCCCAATATAAGGAAAAACTGCTTTTCTGAGAAAGACTTTCATACACTATGAATTGCTGTAATTGTATGAAACTTTAAGATTCAATACCTCTTCTCTTTTCACTTCTAAAGCAGAAAGATGAATGCTTGGACAGACGAAAACTTGAACACATCCTTCAAAGTGGATCTCAGTGTACATGCTTTTTTCAAAATATTTGACCTCTTTTGAGATGACTGGCAAAAAGTTTAAAAAGGGACCTCCCACAGGTACACTTGCCACTACGTGTTTTGAAATTGTGAACCCAGCAAAAGTAAAGCACATAGACTTGCTTTCTTAACCAGTAATAGCTGTCTCTGAAAATAATGGAAATGAAAGCCTTTTATGCAAGTTCATGTTTTGCATGTATTTTAGGAATCTAGACTTACTTTCATTCTCACTCACTTGAGGAAGAAATAAAAAGTTACAGCATCTCCGATGACCAAGTTTGAAGCTTTAAAAAGATCTTGAAGATACACACAGAAAGAAGTCCTCACAAGCATTGTTCAGAAGGGAAAACGAAGCCAAAGTAATAAAGGGGGGAACTATGGACAGCTAACATGGATTACCCAGCTCACTTCCTATGCGCTTAGTGGTTCAGTCGTGCCCCATTCTTTTCGACCCCGTGGACTATAACCTGCCAGGCTCCTCTGCCCATATGGATTCTCCAGGCAAGAATGCGGGAGTGGGTTGCCATGCCCTCCCACAGGGGATCTTCCCAACCCAGGCATCAAACCCAGGTTTCTCACATTGCAGGCAGATTCTTTACCGTCTGAGCCACCAGGATAGCCGAAGAATACTGGAGTGGGTAGCCTCTCCCTTTTCCAGAGGACCTTCCCGACCCAGGAATTGAACTGGGGTTTCCTGCATTGCAAGCCGACTCTTTACCCGCTGAGCTACCAGGAAGACCCAAACACCACCCATAATTACAGAAAAGTTAGCATCTTTGAGTGCTGTGACTCTTCATTTGAAATTCAGAACTCATCTTAGAAAAAGAGTTTAAATTGAAAAATTATAATTAAATAAAACCCATAATGTTTTTTGGTTTTTTTTTTTTTTTGTGAAGAGTCACAGCACTCAAATATCCTAACTTTTCTGTAGCAAGCAAAAATCATTATATGGGATTTTTTCTAACATGCTAAAACCAATCCTGTCCAAACTCAACATGTGGTTTTCCTCACCAGTTTTATTTTACTCGTACCTACCACTCTGCTGGTTCAGAGACTTTTAGCTTCTAATTTTGCATCCAAAGTTGTGCTAGCTAACAAGATAACTTTTGAACAAGTCTCTGAGACACTCCTTGGCACCTACTCCTCTAATTTCCATGGTGACATTCATCCTTGACCAGACTCAAACCATCAGAATGGCTTTCCAGTCTGGAACGTCCTCAGGCAGTACTATTACTAACTGCATAATACTTAACTTTTCTTCAGTCATTTTAAATGATTTTGAGCCAGGAGAAAAAAAGTAAGGGGAAAAAAAAAGGCAGTAATTTTTGAAACACACGTGTGCACACACGTACACACACATTTCCCAAACTTCCTGTGCCAGAACTCCAACATAACATCATCCATCATTAAATTCAGAATAAAACTGGCTGTGTTATCTTCGAATCATAGAAATATAGGAATTTTAAGACTGGTTTCTAATGATGCAGTTTTATTGATGTTCTTTTTTCCCATAAATATCCATAAACATCTCCATAAATATCCATAATTGGAATTCCCACTAGTCACTTTCTTGCATTCATTTGCCAGTTATTTTTTGAGAGGCTACCATGCGCCTGACACTGTTCTTGATACAGAAATGAACAAAAAAGATAAAATCTTTGCTACTGTGGACCCACACAGACAAAAACAGGTAAACCAATAAACAAATACTTTCAAATAGTTTCCATGCTATGAAGAAAATACAATACTGGACAGGGAGAAAAAGGGAGAGATGGAAGAGGGAGCTATATTAAGGAGGGTGGTTAAGTAGGGCATCCCTAAGCTTTCACGTTTCAAAGAAAACATGAATTATTTTTATTATCCGGAGGATCTTGAGGAAAAGCATTGACAGTAGAAGGAACAGAAAGTATAAATGAGACTTCAGGGATTTAAAATGTCAGATAGATGGTTGGAGCACAGTGAACTACAGGGTGTAAGTTCCCCCATTAAATGCAATGAAATTTAACTGTCACTTTAGTAAACTCTTCATATATTTCAAAAGAATTGCTGTATATGAAAAGAAGAGAATAATGAAGCTGTTGGAGGATGTATGATGTGTCTCCTGATAGACTCGGTTGTTAAAAGACTCATTCTTTCACATTAGTCTTGCAGAAAATGTGATTTGAATGAGTGTAGCAGAAAATTTACATATTATTACCTGTCCTTACCTTTAGGCTCCCACATAGATTAAACCACAAGGACTGATGTAGGATATTAAATTCTTAATTTATGGGCATTTTATTACTATACCATAAGCATAATCATATTTATGGTTTTGACACTTGATAGTACTATGCTTAGCATTTTCCACTGGCATTTAGACATGAATTTTGCAAGACAGCATGGGTAGAACTAAACTGATTTTCAAAGTAAGAGAATCTAAAAAAGGATTTATTTCCCAAGGTTATGCTTGAGAAAGAAAACTGCATCCAGAAATAGATTTAAGGAGTACACTTACTTGTTAAAATACATAAAAGAAAAAGATACTCTGTGTAAGAAATCACACCTAGAAGAAAAATAGTATTAGTTATGCTATATATAAAATATTTCTATTTCATATTTATCAAGTAAAATATTATTCTTATAATAGCAGTAAGTAATAGTTACAAAAAAATTCAGACTTTAAAGAAGATGCTAAATATTGTTTTAAATGAGACCAAACTACTACCATAAGATCAGAGCAAAAGAAGAAATAAATTTTACTTTGTTTCATATGCCCTCTTAGAAACAAAATTCACATTAATGCTTTCAGATATACTGACACAAAAGCAAAATTAATAATGTTTATATATAGCTGTAAACTTTAAATGTGCTGCTAGAGCTTTCAACATATGAATCCAGTTAAAGATTAGAAGGCTGAGAATGGTTCGCTCTGTGACGGGCTTAATGACTTCTTAGAAATCCCTGAATAAAACATTTAGATATTCTTGCTTAGAGATTTGACTGCTGTACTGCATTCAAAAAATACAACTCTATAGTTACTACTTTTCTGCCTTTAAGTTATCATTCATTATTCTTGACACACTTCATGCTTCTATTAGGTCTAAGAAAATTTTAATTTTAATTAAATGGCTTACACTTTCTGCATATTGCATCCTGAGTTCTCTGTAATCTCATAATAAACTTTAAAAGGAGTTTGCTTAAAGTAAAGAAAAATATATATTCTGTTACTCAAATTCTTGCTTTTGAATGATAACACCCAAAACTAGAATTAATGCCTTAATCAATTTTCCAAGCAGATCCTGAGAATATTAAAATCAGGAATAAGCCAATAATACTTATCCAGATACTAGACAGTCCTCATGTTTGGTAAAACAGTATAAAAATTCTTAAATGATCAGATCGTGAACCTTAAAACTCCACTTTACCTGATGTTCTTTGAGGCTATCCTCTTTGTTACAGAACAAAGAGAAGAGGAGGCACTGTCAGGCGGTCTGTCAGAAGAGGTGAAGGGACAGAGCTAGGAGGCCTGAAAGCATTCCCGTCTTTTGTTTATACTAGAATATTGTGACCTATGGACATAGTTCTGGTTGATTGCCATGAATGTTATGGGAGAAAGATTCTGGAATGGTCAATGTGTATAAAGATACAATACCTAGATTCCATAGGGATCCCTCAAAAAAAAAAAAAAAAAGAATTGGAAATGGGCTCTGTATCTCCACAATCCAGTCTCACTGACTGTTGTTCCAACTGATGTGGTGAATACACAAGAGATGCCGGTTAGTGAAAAGAAGTTTAATATCTGCTGTACATCTTTTACTTGGTAATCAACTTAAGAGTCCCCTCAGTGAAGGATTACTTAACAGTAGGTGTCCTGATCATGAGTATTGCAGTAGACACTTGTTGGAAGTTCGGAGTTTTGGGGTGTTTTGAGGAGTTTTTGGTTCTTGAGGTGGTGTCATCCACAGCAGAGAAAAACAAAGTGAGAAGCTCATGATAAAATTTAATAAAAATGGTCAAGAAGAAGAGAAAATACTACTAAACATGAACTGTAGATTCATAATGATTTTAATTACAAAAATGGAGAATCATTAGACTAACCTTTCAATTTGTTTTAAGGTCACCCAGAGTCAAAAATAAAATAACAGTAAATGCTAAGCATATAGTAAACTTGTGATCTTTAGAAAAAGAGGATAAGAAAGATGCCAACTAGGTTTCCTTTGAAAGTTCAATTTAAGAAAATTCTAAGGCATGTTCCTTTAAAATCACCACACTGTTTAGTTCCTATATCCTGATACATTACAGCTGGCTATTATAACTAAGTCTGTGTAAGTCATGTTTTTATAAATGTTACATACCAATTAAATTTTTGTAGAACTGTCTAACATTTTCTTCCTGGGTTGTATTTTAAGCTGATAGAATTCTTTTGTTAAGTTAGTCTTCAACAGCTCTAAAAACTTAGCTTTAAGATTCCTTTTCCACCTAATTTCTTTATTAAAAAACAAAACTGTAACTTTCTACTTTACCTACCCAATGGTTCTAAAACTTGGGTACATGGATTACCTTGATAGTCCCATCACTATGACATAGATCTGCACTGTTCTACAGGGTAGCCACTGACCACATAGGGCTACTTAAATTTAGAAATAATTAAAAGTAAACAAAATTAAAAACTCAATTCCTCAGATACAGTAGCCCCATTTCAGGTTCTTCATAGCCACAAGTGACTCCAGGCTATGGACTCTAGGGATATGGACATTCCGGCCACGGTAGACAGTTCTATTCAATAGCATTGAATACATCATCTTTCCTGAGAAAAATATACAAATCTGCATACAATTTAAGAAAGATTCAGTTCAGTTCAGTCACTCAGTCATGTCTGACTCTTTGCGACCCCATGAAGTGCAGCACGCCAGGCCTCCCTGTCCATCACAAACTCCCGGAGTTTACTCAGACTCATGCCCATAGAGTCGGTGATGCCATCCAGCCATCTCATCCTCTGCCATCCCCTTCTCCTCCTGCCCCCAATCCCTCCCAGCATCAGGGTCTTTTCCAATGAGTCAACTCTTCGCATCAGGTGGCCAAAGTACTGGAGCTTCAGCTTCAGCATCATTCCTTCCAATGAACACCCAGGACTGATCTCCTTTAGGATGGACTGGTTGGATCTCCTTGCAGTCCAAGAGACTCTCCAGAGTCTTCTCCAACACCATAGTTCAAAACCATCAATGTTTTGGCACTCAGCTTTCTTCACAGTCCAACTCTCACATCCATACATGACCACTGGAAAAACCATAGCCTTGACCAGATGGACCTTTGTTGGCAAAGTAATGTCTCTGCTTTTTAATATGCTATCTAGGTTGGTCATAACTTTCCTTCCAAGGAGTAAGCGTCTTTTAATTTCATGGCTGCAGTCACCATCTGCAATGATTTTGGAGCCCAAAAAAATAGAGTCTGACAATGTTTCCACTGTTTCCCCATCTATTTTCCATGAAGTGATGGGACTGGATGCCATGATCTTAGTTTTTTGAATGTTGAGCTTTAAGCCAACTTTTTCACTCTACTCTTTCATTTTCATCAAGAGGCTTTTTAGCTCCTCTTCACTTTCTGCCATAAGGGTGGTGTCATCTGCATATCTGAGGTTATTGATATTTCTCCCAGCAATCTTGATTCCAGCTTGTGCTTCTTCCAGCCCAGCGTTTCTCATGATGTACTCTGCATAGAAGTTAAATAAACAGGGTGACAATATACAGCCTTGACGTACTCCTTTTCCTATTTGGAACCAGTCTGTCGTTCCATGTCCAGTTCTAACCGTTGCTTCCTGACCTGCATACACATTTCTCAAGAGGCAGGTCAGGTGGTCTGGTATTCCCATCTCTTTCAGAATTTTCCACAGTTTATTGTGATCCACACAGTCAAAGGCTTTGGCATAGTCAATAAAGCAGAAATAGATGTTTTTCTGAAACTCTCTTGCTTTTTTGATGATCCAGCGGATGTTGGCAATTTGATCTCTGGTTCCTCTGCCTTTTCTAAAACCAGCTTGAACATCACGGTTCACATATTGCTGAAGCCTGGCTTGGAGAATTTTGAGCATTACTTTACTAGCATGTGAGATGAGTGCAATTGTGTGGTAGTTTGAGCATTCTTTGGGATTGCCTTTCTTAGGGATTGGAATGAAAACTGACCTCTTCCAGTCCTGTGGCTACTGCTGAGTTTTCCAAATTTGCTGGCATATTGAGTGCAGCACTTTCACAGCATCATCTTTCAGGATTTGAAATAGCTCAACTGGAATTCCATCACATCCACTAGCTTTGTTTGTAGTGATGCTTCCTAAGGCCTATTTGACTTCACAGTTCAGGATGTCTGGCTCTAGATGAGTGATCACACCATTGTGATTATCTGGGTCATGAAGATCTTTTTTGTACAGTTCTGCTGTGTATTCTTGCCACCTCTTCTTAATATCTTCTGCTTCTGTTAGGTCCATACCATTTCTGTCCTTTATCGAACCCATCTTTGCCTGAAATGTTCCTTTGGTATCTCCAATTTTCTTGAAGAGATCTCTAGTCTTTCCCATTCTGTTGTTTTCCTCTATTTCTTTGCATTGATCGCTGAGGAAGGCTTTCTTATCTCTCCTGACTATTCTTTAGAACTCTGCATTCAAATGGGAATATCTTTCCTTTTCTCCTTTGCTTTTCACTTCTCTTCTTTTCACAGCTATTTGTAAGGCCTTCTTAGACAACCATTTTGCCTTTTTGCATTTTTTTTTCTTGGGGATGGTCTTGATCCCTGTCTCCTGTACAATGTCACGAACCTCCATCCACTGTTCATCAGGCTCTCTATCAGATCTAGTCCCTGAAATCTATTTCTCACTTCCACTGTATAGTCATAAGGGATTTGATTTAGGTCATACCTGAATGGTCTAGTGGTTTTCCCTGCTTTCTTCAGTTTAAGTCTGAATTTGGCAATAAGGAGTTCATGATCTGAGCCACAGTCAACTCCCAGTCTTGTTTTTGCTGACTGCATAGAGCTTCTCTATCTTTGGCTGCAAAGAATATAATCAATCTGATTTCAGTGTCAACCATCTGGTGATGTCCATGTGTAGATTCTTCTCTTGTGTTGCTGGAAGAGGGTGTTTGCTGTGACCAGTGCGTTCTCTTGGCAAAACTCTATTAGCCTTTGCCCTGCTTCATTCCGTACTTCAAGGCCAAATTTGCCTGTTACTCCAGGTGTTTCTTGACTTCCTACTTTTGCATTCCAGTCCCCTATAATGAAAAGGACATCTGTTTTGGGTGTTAGTTCTAAAAGGTCTTGTATGTCTTCATAGAACCGTTCAATTTCAGCTCCTTCAGCATTACTGGTTGGGGCATAGGTCTGGATTACCGTGATATTGAATGATTTGCCTTGGAAACGAACAGAGAACATTCTGTTGTTTATAAGATTGCATTCAAGTACTGCATTTCGGACTCTTTTGTTGACCATGATGGCTACTCCATTTCTTCTAAGGGATTCCTGCCCACAGTAGTAGATATAATGGTCATCTGAGTTAAATTCACCCATTCCAGTCCATTTTAGCTCTCTGATTCCTAGATTATGACTTGCCTAATCCTATAGCTTCCAAATTTAAGCCTCCCTTTAACTAAAAAGAATTTCCTTCTTCCATCCATTTATCTTTCTTAGATTATATTTGATCCAATTTTATTTTCCCATGAGAGGTATTAAGGAAATACTTTTTACATTCACCAATTTACCCCATTGTTCTGAGCTTTGAACTTTCTTGATCCTATCATTCCACTCTAAAATTTGAATAGCAATCTTAACACAACTTCCAGAAAAAAATTTCTAAGAACTTTAAAGATATCATAGCCCAGACTTCACAAAGATATATAAACCCTAGTTATGAAAAGCCTACAATTTAAGATAAGGTGTCTCCTCCATCCAGAGTCCATGAGATCTAGGTATAAGCAATTTGAATTTCTAATTCTACTTAGATAAACATTTATGAATTATAGCTTTTCTTTTAAAGTATTTATCTTCATGTTAAATATATTATTTTCAAACCAATATTGGTTAAAAGTGATAAAAAAGAAAAAGTTAAGTTTATACAATTGCTTTTTATTTTTATTTTGTATATTCTTATATCTGAATATAAAAATATATATTTCTAAGAAACATTCCTTTCTAAGATTAAAGAGATTACATTGATCAGTTTCTACTATAAATATTTATAAAAAGCTCACTGTAAAAGAAAAGTGCAGTAACAGCTATATAATTTGACTGCAAGGACATACATGAATTAATGAGTTAACATATATACAGATGTGGGTAATACAGTAAGTTGAAACAACTGGATTTTGCTGTGAGTTTTGTCTTTTAAAAAATGCTCAAATTATACAGCCAAAATATATATCCAATAATCTTTCTACTGATTAAATTTAAGAAAATCTGGAAGTAAATGGAATGAAGAAAAAATAGATATTTGGAAATCAGTATTTCTGAAAAATGCATTCTGTAGGTAAATATAATGTATACTTCTCAATACGGTTAAAAAGGGTTTTGTTAAACTGTCAAAGTTCACTTTGTTGGAAGATATGAATAATGTATCATAAATAAAGTAACATAAAAACTACCCTTAACCTCACTACCAAGAAACATTCATTATTAATATTTTGGTAGTTTTCTTTTTAGTTTTTTTCTCTCTGTACACAGACACATATATAACTGCAAAATTATTTAAGCATGAGGAAAATATGCATGTATAAATAGTATAAACAATACAGTGTCAGTACTAAAATACATAAATACTAAAGTTAACTTACCTTTTTCTTTAAGATTTCGAAATAGCTTTGATGATCCTTTCCAAACTGGTGGTGTTTCTGATAGCATTTGATTTAATTCCTGTTACATAAAGTATCATTATACTGATTAACAGGTAAGCCACTTATTTATAAAATAGACCAAAAATATTTAAATGCCTATGCAAAAAAAATTCTCTGCTTAGAAGACCTCAGATAATGGGTGTATTTATACTACTTTCTCTGTGGTCCATTCAACAGTAAAACCCAATATTTGACCAAAAGTGCAAAAGTAAAAATGAGTGATAAAGATGCTACATTAATTTCTATTAGAGCTACCAAAATTTTCAGATAAATGTATTAATTGGAGATATATAGGGCTTCCTAGGTGGCGCCAGTGGTAATGAATCCACCTGCCAATGCAGGAGATGTAAAAGATGCAGGTTTGATTGCTGGGTAGGGAAGTTGCCCTGGAGTAGGGAATGGCAATGCACTTCTTGCCTGGAAAATCCCATGGACAGAGGAGCCTGGCTGGCTACAGTCCATGGGGTTGCAAAGAGTTGGACACGACTGAGCACCAGCACCACCACATATACATATTATATATGTATATATATGACAATCTAAGATAAAACAGTGAATTTAAGTTCTGGGGCCAGTTAGAAAAGGATGGTTCCATGGAAGCCATAAGAAATGGTGTACTCCTAATGCAGGTCAGATAGGATCAGCAGGTTTCACATACTGTCTGTTTTCTGTAGCCCATTTGGATTTAGGCAATTCTGGGGTTGATGAAGCAACTGGGCAACAGATTATATTGGGAAAGAATGAAGAGTATTTTATAGTGACTTAAAGAATGATGACATCAGATGAAGTGGGAAAACAGGCTGTTGAGTTATTACTGTCACTGTTGCAATTTTTTCCTAATTTTAACCTAAATATTCAGTAAAGAATACACACTCCAATAGCTGATTAGTCAGTTTTTTTTTTTTTAAACCAAGCAGAAGCGGGACTATTTTGGAACACTTAAACATTTGACTCATTGCTCAGATACCAAAACAATCTTGTATTTGTTGTGCTTACTTGTGTTAAGAGCAACTAAGTGAAAATTATAAATAGGTTAATTGTGAAAAATTATTAGAGGATTTGGTGAGATAACTTGAAATAATTTGAAATTTAAAAAAAAATTAGTCTGCTAAGTAACACACTGAAAAAAACCAAACAAACACTAGGAAGTGCTTCTTTTCCAGATCTGATTTTTGCTACTCAAAAGTGTGGTTCCCTAAAGGCCCTGGCATCATTACCTTGCCAGACAGCTTGTTAGAAATGCACAATCTCAGATCCCATCCCAGATCTACCGAACCAGAATCTACTTTTAACAAGATCTATGAATGACTTTTATGTACACTCAAGTTTGAGAAGCACTTTAGAGCAATCCTTTCTGATGTGTGTGCTAAGTCACTTCAGTCGTGTCCAGTTCTTTGTGACCCTGTGGACCATATCCCAGGTATATCAAAATGCTGTCCATGGGATTCTCAGGCAAGAATACTGGACTGGGTTGCTGTGCCCTCCTTCAAGGGATCTTCCCCCCTTTCCCGATGTAGTTGTACCTTAAAAAGCCCTGTGACATTTATAAGCCATCTTTTCATTACAGAGCTGAGTTAGCAGACAAATAGGGAATCTCTGGGATGGCAAAAGCAGGAGAGGTAGTTTTAGGGGATTTGTAGAGGCCCTGAAGTCCATCTGTGAGCCCTTGCTCTTACTTCCTTCATAATGTTATTCCGCACAGCAGGTAAGAGATGCCACCAGTGCTGAGCACTGCTGACTAGGACAGCAGTGGCACGGAGGTTAGGATTCACAATGACTAATGATGTTTAATGTTTAAGCAACAGTCAATTCATAAAGATTTCTGTTAAAACAGGAGATTAAAAAGTATTTTGAGTACACTTTTTACACTTTCATTTATACTGTCTCTATTATATTGATATTACCTCTCTTTCTCCCTTTTAACTCTTTTCATGTATTAAACTCCATTTCTTCTACTCAGCAAAAATTTAAGACCAAAAATTCAGAGCCACCTTCTATTTTGAGTTCCCTCTATGTGCTTAGCAATGGGCTAATACACACCTTGTTTAATTCTAAAAATTAATTCTCATTATGCATATATTACTGAGTCTTAAAGAAGATAAGTAACTCACTCAGGATCACACAATTAGTCAATGACTGGCCAGATCCTTACTCACTCTAAGCAGTTTATTTTTGTAATAATTTAGTTCTGTCTGGTCTAGATCATCCAACTGACACACGGATCTTTCATGTCAATTTTAGGGGCTTTTAAATTTTATTAAAATTTGTATTTCCACTCAGGCTCGGACTCTCTCTCCCCACTCCCAGTGCCTATCTTAGCCTCTTAAAGGCAGTAGTATTAAAGACAGAGAGTTTGATTGGCTTTTGTCCCTGGTTTCTGGGGGCAAGATTCCATCCACATCCTTAGACCACACCAAAGTTTATGCCAAGGAGAAGAATCAGGATGGGGGCTGACCTTCAAAAACAACCTCATGACTCAAGGGTTGGGGGTGTGAGCTAGCCTGACCTTTGGGGAGGGGGCGGGGGAGAAGGAACGGAGATTGAATTCATTTGTGTGGTCAATGATTTGATCAATCACAGCTATGCAATGAAACTCCCAATAAAAACTCTGGACACCAAGCTCAGCAGAGCTTTCAGGTTTGTAAACACATGGGTCTTCCCAGGATGGGGCCATACCCTGATCCCTCAGGGAGAGGGTACAGAAGCTGTGTTCAGAACCCTTCTATACCTTGCTGCATGTGTCTATTTGGCTGGCCTTGATTTGTTCCCTTATAATGATAATTATAAATTGGAAATCTAAGTGTAGAATGTTTCTGAGTTCTATGAGTCTGTCTAACAAATTATTAAACTTGAGGGAAGTTGTGGGAACTATCTGAATTTGTAGCCACTTGGTCAGAAGTGTGGGTGGTCTGGGATCCCTTGAAATGCAGCTGGCATCAGAAATGAGGGCAATCTTTTGGGGGATTGGGTCCTTAAATCTGTGGGGTCTGATGTTAACTCTGGATGGTCAGTATCAGAATGAAACTGCAGTACTGCAAGTAAGGACTAAATATTTGCTGGATTGAATTCATTTATCTAGAATTATAGATGCCTTTTAAAGGATTTATACAATTTTCCTGAGTACAATTTTTTAAATTAAATACTTAATATATATGTTATCAGAAAATTAGGAAGTGCAAAAAATAAAAACAGATTGTGATCCAGGGATTAACCACAATTAAAATTTTTATTTAATCTCATTTTAATTTCATTCTTTATTTTTGTCATTCTTGTTGTAAATATTGAATAATTTTCTATGTAAAGTTTTGTAACTTACTCTTTGCACTTAATATATCATGATCATGTTTTCCTGCCAAACATTCTTCATTTTCATTTTAATGGGTACACAGCAGTTCTGAAATGTAACTCTTTATATTCTTAAAAACTGTGAACCCAGAAGAGATATTGCTTATGTGAATTATATTTAATTATATTTAATGCGTGTGGAAATAGAAATGATACTTTTCTTATTGGTCACACCCCATAGCATGTGGAATCTTAGTTTCCTGGCCAGGGATTGAACCTGTGACTTCAGCAATGAAAGTGCTGAGTCCTAACCACTTTGGTGATTTGGACACTAAGTCATGTCCAACTCTTTGTGACCCCATGGATTTAGCCTGCCAGGCTCATCTGTTCATTGGATTTCCCAGGCAAGAATATCAGACTGGGTTGCCATTTCCTCCTCCAGGAAATCTTCCTGACGCAGGGATCAAACCTGGGTCTCCTGCATTGCAGGTGGGTTCTTTACCAACTGAGCCCCCAAGAAGCCCCCTAACCACTGTGCCACCAGGGAATTCCCAAGAAATGATATATTTTTAAAACGCAAAAATACATAAGCACATATTCTATTATCTCTCAGAGGATGATGTCATCACTCATCAGGAAGCCTCTGGTTAACTCCACTGTACCCTTGTGAGAGAATGAGATTAACAGAACAAGTAACTTCTCAGTATTATTATGAAAATAGTCTTGACTTTATGGATGCCCCTAAAAGGTCTTTGCATGTTAAGAAAAATCAGTTTATATTACTTTGCAATGTGCTGTTTTATTCAACCCTATGTTTTTCAGGCCTATTCATAGTTCTCATTTTAGCTCTTTTTGTCTTTCATATGCCTACTTCACATTCTTTTCTTAATCTTCTACTAATTGACATTTATATTGTTTCTAATTTTTTCAGGACTCCTGGTATAAGCATGCAATGTTTCTCTTATAAACATATCTAGAAGTAGAATTTTTGATATGCATAAGATATTGCCAAATTTCTCTCAAAAGAGAAAATACCAACTTACATTCTCATCTGGTTCCTCCTTTCTATCCTTGATATTTACTGGTATTGTTAGATTTCTGGAAGCTGACTACCTGATGGGTGTAAAACAGTATCATATAATTGGTTTGATTTGCATATCCCTGATTACTAGTGAGATGTGCATATCCCTGGTTACATACATTTATTGGCCTCTCTGGCTATGTCCATCCATTATTTTCTTATTGATTATCTTTCTTATATTGATTTACAGGAGTTCTATATAAGATACTTAGCCTTTTCTGTTAATAGGTTGCAAGCATATTCTCCCACATGTCATACCTCTTTTAAGATTGTTGACATTGTCTTTTGTGTGCCAAAATTTTTAATATTTAATTTAGCAAAATTTGCCAATAATCTCCTTTGAGTTTAGCTTTATGTATATTTATATATGTATATATCAAAATGTATGCATCATAAATATATATACACATATATATACACACATTTAATTGTGTGCATGAATATGTATAGCAAGAGCTTTAACTTACCTGTTTGGAAAGTGACTTCCATGTTTTAGCAACTATAAAAAACAAACATAAAAAAGTGGATAATAAATACTTCATGTAATGTATACAAAAATCTAGTAATCATTTACATCATAACTCATGACACTGACTTTTATATCTAAAAGGCAAAGTTTTTTTAACCTCAAGATGTGGACCTGTGTAAGTTATACATTTTGTATTTGTCTTATGTACTATATTCATAATAAATAATATCAGTGGAGTAGAAAACATATTTTCCATAATCATCATCTCACTTTGGGGATTTCTGGATTTACAAAGTAAATTAACTTACCCCAAGTTAAATGTCCTAGGGCTAAAAACACGAATAATGATATTCATTAAATGTTGTTAGATGATGTTAGAATATAAAATAATAGAGAAATTATAATTTTAAGGTGCTACCCGTGATCTCTGCTGTGTTAGTATCTCAGATTATAATTCGAAGGTTGGGTTTCTCTACAGTGATTGGGAAGGACAGGGCAAAGATAAAAAGAGATGAAGGAGAGAACAGGCAATGTTCTAGGAAGACTTGGCCTGTTTTCCACTCTTCTCCTCTAAGAATGTTACAGTTGAATAAAATACCAGAGGTCACTTTCTCTTTCTGATTTTTCCTCACATCCCTGAAGACCTCAAACACTATAAATCTCATAGTATTAAAACAAGTGCAGTCAAGAGTGCTGTTTCTTTGCTCAGATTTGAATACTGTGACTATACAATGCCTGTCCAAGAATTATCTCCAGGTTTGGATGTGATTAAGCCCTATAATACAGCTGTATTCAGTTTAGTTCAGTTCAGTCGCTCAGCCATGTCCGACTCTTTGCGATCCCATGAATGGCAGCAAGCCAGGCTTCCCTGTCCATCACCAACTCCTGGAATTTACTCAGACTCATGTCCATCGAGTCGGTGATGCCATCCAGCCATCTCATCCTCTGCCATCCCCTTCTCCTCCTGCCCCGATCCCTCCTAGCATCAGGGTCTTTTCAAATGAGTCAACTCTTCACATGAGATGGCCAAAGTATTGGAATTTCAGCTTCAGCATCAGTCCTTCCAATGAACACCCAGGACTGATCTCCTTTAGGATGGACTGGTTGGATCTTCTTGCAGTCCAAGGGACTCTCAAGAGTCTTCTCCAACACCACAGTTCAAAAGCATCAATTTTTCAGCGCTCAGCTTTCTTCACAGTCCAACTCTCACATCTATACATGACCACTGGAAAAACCATAGCCTTGACTAGATGGACCTTTGTTGGCAAAGTAATGTCTTTGCTTTTTAATATGCTATCTAGGTTGGTCATAACTTTCCTTCCAAGGAGTAAGCGTCTTTTAATTTCATGGCTGCAGTCACCATCTGCAGTGATTTGGGAGCCCAAAAAAATAAAGTCTGACACTGCTTCCACTGCTTCCCCATCTATTTCCCATGAAGTGATGGGACCAGATGCCATGATCTTAGTTTTCTGAATGTTGAGCTTAGTAAATATTAACTATTTCAGCTACAGCACAATAATGACAAGCAATAATTTTTCTCCATGGTCATGTGGGTTTTTCTATATAATTAACAGTTGTTAATGTAAATAATATATCAAATTCAAGATTATAAGATAGACATTTTTTGCTATGCAATTTTCTCTTTTAAGCAATGTAATAAGTCATTTTAAGATCATAAGGGAAGAACTATATTCTAAAATTTAGCAAACTGATTTCCATGAAGATAGTTTTCTTTTCTATGTAGTAACAACATCCTTTCTTTACCTAAGATAGTTAATATGGAACCCTGTAATCAAGTGATTAAAATCACAGGTCTATAAGGTAGACTTCAGCATTTAACCTTAATTATAATACTTTATACATTCATTTGATAGACATCTTCCTTTATATAGTGAACATAACAATGTAAATAATTTTATTATTCTGTTGCTTTTGAAATATAGCAGTAAAAAGGGAAGAAAAATAAATGGTACAAAGGTACATGCATATGCTCTTATGCAATGTTCAGAAGGCATTTATCAAAGAGGAAGTTAAGACACTCTTGAGTTTTGTAGGGTTTATGAGATTTCCAGGGTAAATTATTCACAAAAGACATATTCATTCTGCCGGATATGTCACCATGTTCAGTATTACTGGCTTTTTTAAAAATAAAACTAAAGAGCCTTTAAGATTGTTCTTCAAAGGATTTTCTGATTTTCTAAATTCTTTATTTCACATGAACTTACTGCATATATAAGGTAAAGAGAGACTTCATTCTTTTCGATATATTTTATTTCTTAGGCTACAGGTTGATGTTCATTATATTTTTGATACATTTATGTAAGTCTGAACTTTTTAAACAATAAATTCTTTAAAATTAAAAAATACTTGAAGCTACATGAAAATAATTACTTATTTTAGTTCCAGATGGAAAATTTACCTTGTAGGTTCTATTTAAGTAGGTAAAATAAGAAATTTTCTTGATTTCAACCACCAAGTTATAATCAGTGATCTGATGTATATCTCAATTAACATTTATTTGAATCACAATTATTAAGCAAATGTTTACATGGCACAGCATTTTCCTGTTGATATTGCCATAAAGTTAAGGATTTTAAAAATAATGGTTCTGAATTCAAGTGATAATGATGATGATAACAATGACACCTAGCAAAGCTTATTAAGTGCCTACTGTATATTGGTATCACACTAAACATAACTGATATCATTCATCCTCAAAAAACCTCCCAAGACTTTTTGTTACTTTCACTTTTATAAATGAAGAAACAGAAGACTAAATAACTTACTCAGGTTCCCAAAGCTCATAAAAATTGCCAAGGTCTAAACACAAGTTTGTCTAACTTTAATATGCTACTTTGATATATATAGATGATTTAATATTCCATCTCTGAAGCATATTTTCTTTTTTGAAGTAAATATTTCTTTTTAAAGCCCTATACTTTAAAAAAAAAGTTTTTGCAAATATCTTGATCTTCAGTTATCATTTTTAATTACATCTTAGAAGTAATGATTAGATAATAACTGAAGTTGACAGAGAAGGAAAAATATCGTATGACATATGACATGTCTTATACGTGGAATCTAAAAAGAAATGATACAAATGAACTACTTACAAAACAAAAAGAGAGTCACAGACTTAGGGAATGAACTTATGGTTGCCAATACACACTGTTGTTCTGTTTAAAATGGATAATCAACAAGGTCCTATGTATAGCACATGGAACTCTGTTCAATGTTATATGTCAGCCTGGATGGGAGGGGAGTTTGGGGGAGAATGGATACATGTCTATGTATGGCTGAGGCCCTTTACTGTCCACCCCATCACAACATTGTGAATTGGTTATACCCCCATACAAAATACAAAATAAATTAATTAATTAAATTAAAAAAATAAACTAATGTTAATCTGAGTTTCTTGCTTAAAGAAAACAACTGACAATATTTGTTATCAATAATAACATCTGAGATTTCAAGTGAAAATTAAAATTTTGGAAAGCTTGCATACACCATGCATCTGACAGCTCTCCAACAAGCAAAGACTTTTCTGATAAGATTCTGATGGTATTAGTGTGATTTTTAAAAAATATTATACAATGAAATATGGCAACATTTGACAGATTGGTGTAATTTAATGAACCAATATTTTCCAGCTGATAGTACAAAATTATATCAATATAAAGCAAAATGAGCCATTCAATAATGCAATGTAGGTCAATGGATTTTAACAAAACAGATGACAAAAATGTCAGAGTCCACATTGCAAGTAAACTTTAAGAAACTACCAGCAGCCAAGTATTGATATAATACCAAAGAAGAATATCTATGATTATTTGAAAAGGCTTTTGTAATACCCTTCCCTTTTCCTCCTTCTATATCTGTTAGGCAGATTTTGTCCATATGTCAATACTTTCTGAAAACAAACACTGCAACAAATTGAACAGAAAGGCAGATATAAGAATCCAGATGTCTTCTATTAAGTCAGACATTAAAGTGATTTTGTAAGAAAGTACATAATGCCAAAAAGTTTGAGAACCACTGCCCTAACACATGGAAGGGTGAGAAACAATCAATCTACATTTACACTGCAGGAGCCATGACAATATTCAGAAGAGATACAGGAAGAATTCTTGTCCAAATCTAACTGCAAAATCAATCCTCTGAGTTTTTCTGTCCAGGCTGGATATAAGAACTGATTTGGCAGAATAAGAACCTTTATCAAGAATATTAAAAATAAGGTGGGTGTTTATTCTGATGTACGAGAAAGAGGGAACAAATGAAATTTCTGAAAAGAGAAAAGATACCAGTAGGGGTTAGTCTGGTAAACATCGTATCTTTTGATACACAGTATCAAAACATCAAAGCATAGTATTGTTTGACGTACCACATTACTTGGTTAGTTGTTTTGAAAAACTTACACTGCTCCACAATTTTAAAAAATAGAGATAAGAAAAAATGTTATAACATTGTTGAGATAAACTTGAGAAATATACTTACTTTTGGGCTCGTCTGTTGTAACAGCCAAAATAAAATCATACGGAGTCATGAACAACTGCCCTTCACATTCTATAGAAGCAAACAAACGAAATCGCCTTTCCCGAGACGTAGCATAGAGGTCCAGGTCTTCGACTTCTGTTCTGCCAACAGCAACCTGAAGTTAAGAAAGCAAGTAAGTCTGGACTGTGTGAAGTGACACCTCCTTCTAGAAGATACATGTCTTCAATTATGTTGATAGGGAATTAACAGAGCAAAAGAAAAAAGGTGAAAATATATAACCATAAACAAATATCCACATGAATAAAGTGAATTAATGTTCAAAAGATCTTACTATGATTATCATTCAGATTCTGAAGACTTTACACTGGCTCTTTGAAGGACTTGTGATTCCTTTCTTTAGTTTCAGTCTCGGAGAACGTTAAGTTTCTGAGCTAGTAGTTTCTTCAGAAGGAACACCAACACTTGCTGAATGCCTACTATGTACTCTCTATATAGGCCTACTTATTTAATTAGAACTCTTTTTACTGTAGTCTATTAATTTTCTAAAAGAAGAAAAGGAAACCATGATAGGCTGTTCATGGCAGCCATTAAGGAAACCATTTAGTGGCAGAGTTTAGATTTGTGCTGAAGTTGCTAACTCTAGATCACTATGCTAGAGTTACCACCAATGATCACTCTGAATTCTACCCAAGGTTAAGATAAGCAGAATGGGAAGTGTGAATGGGCAGAAGGGAATCTCTTTTGTTTTCCTTAATTTTAAAATCTTTCCTTGTAGATAAATAATTTCTATTATTTTCTTTGAACTGTAACAAAATTTTTAATGCTTTTTTCCTGATTCCAAAAGCAATGCATAGTTACTGTATATAATTCAGAAGACAGAATTGAAAAACTTATAATTGTTTATGTTTTGCCAAAAAATCAGGGTTATACTATACTGTCTGGTTACCTGATTCTTTTTACTAATTAATATATCATTTTTCCATGTGACTAAATAGTCTAGTAGATCATTTTTAGTAACTATGCACTATTTCATAGTAAATGTTTGTTGCCTAACTTAATCAACTAATTAATTCCACATGGTTGAATATTTAGGTAATTCATAGTACTTCACTACTATAAAACAATGTTATTAATAATATAATGGCCAGCCTTGAAAATATTTAGATATATCTATAAATAGTTCCTTGGGATTAATTCCTGGGAGTAAACTTGATTGGTCAAACACAGTCATTTCATACACATTATCAAGATGCTTCCAGGAAGCTTATGGCAATTTACATGGCTAATAACAATAAAAAATTATACCTTTGTACATTTCACACAAAACATTTTATATAAGAAAAAATTCTTATTTAGGATGACAAACTTAATCTCCTTATTGCCTCTTCTAAGTCATTATGCAAACTGTGTACAAACTTAAAATTATTTACACATACACTATTTTGAGAAGTTGTATCAAAACAGACCATAAGAACTTTCAGTAAGGAAACTACATTTTATATTTCTAAGTTACACCTTATTAAATGAAAAGCCAGGCAAATTATTAATTTTTTTCTACTACTCTGAAGACTAAGACTTTTTAAAACATAATGGAAATAGTCAAATAAAAAAATTTTTAATGCCTTTTTTAAATGGCTTGTATAACAGGTAGAATCTAGTCTCAGCCCTTAAAGAATATATGCTCTACATAGGTGGACAAAATGCTAGCTGGAGAGACAAAAGGTACAAACATGGAAAAGAGTAACTCAGAGTAAAGAGAAGAAAAGCACAATAGATTGAGGTTATGAAGAAGGCTTTAAGAAGACTTCCCTGGTGGCTAGGACGGCAAAGAGTCTGCCTGCAATGTGGGAAACCAGGATTTGATCCCTGGGTTGGGAAGATCGCATGGAGAGCATAGCAACCCACTCCAGTACTCTTGCCTGGAGAATCCCACAGACAGAGGAGCCTGGCAGGCTACAGTCTATGGGGTTGCAGGAATAGGACACGACTGAGCAACTAGGCGCACATGGGTAAGGAGTCACTCAATCACTCAGTGTCAATAATGAGCAATAATTTCCCTGAATACTCCTCAGGGATCCATCTACCAATTAAGTCCCCTCTACACCTATTATCTCAGGGGCTTTTTCTTCCTCTCTGGGCAGGGAAACCAATCTTGTCTGTGACCATAGTTTACTTTCCTGTTTTCTTCTTGCTAAGCCATTTCCTTGGGCCAAGGTGGCCCCCATCAACCATGACTCATCTCCAGTGAATTTCCTGGAGGACCACTTGATGTGGGGCACTCACTGCTTCTGCACCACAATCTGAAGTCATGCTTCACTTTAACACCCGGAACCACAATTTTTGCCTATGTCCTGTGACCTAATGTGCACTTTATGTGTGATTTCTGCCCTTACCTGTTACCATTACTGCTCATGGGGTGCCTGTTGCTTTCTCATCAAACTATCTCTCCTTAGGCCTGGTCCCAGCACATCAAGCCTGCTTGACTGCTGCAGCTGGCAATCTGATCTACCTATGAACTAGTGCTGACGACTCCTCCTTTTCCTTAACTTCTACCAACAATCAATTAACAAAGTCTGTTGTTCTCCCTCTAATTTCTCACATCCACCCACTGCTGCTACCTTTGTTTAAGCAATCACTGCTGCTGCTGCTGCTAAGTCACTTCAGTTGTGTCCAACTCTGTGCGACCCCATAGACGGCAGCCCACCAGGCTCTGCTGTCCCTGGGATTCTCCAGGCAAGAACACTGGAGTGGGCTGCCATTTCCTTCTTCAATGCATAAAAGTGAAAAGTGAAAGTGAAGTCGCTCAGTCATGTCGGACTCTTCGCGACCCCATGGACTGCAGCCTACCAGGCTCCTCCATCCATGGGATTTTCCAGGCAAGAGTGCTGGAGTGGGTGCCATTGCCTTCTCTGAAGCAATCACCACTTCCCTAAAATTTTAGTCATGGCCTGTGGTTTTCGCCTCTTTTCCATCCTATGTTGAAAGAAAGAAGAAAAAAAAAAAACCACGCAGAACTGTGGAACAATTTGAATTCTTTAAACACAAGAAACAGTTTCAGAAGAAATCTGAGTTAAAGGTTTTCGTTAAAACATCACTGAATGTATGAGTTCTACCTCTTGTTGCCTTAACAAAAGTATCTGTCATTTTTTATAATGGCACTAGGTGCCTACTGGTCTATTTATCACCTTAAAAGAAGGTGTGGGGAAGAGTTTGGGAATGGTTTGTGCCCCAGACAAATACATATATTTATAAATATATATTTACATCCCTAAGAGGGCTATATATATACACATATATTTGATACACATATATTTGGTACACATATATATGGCATATATATATATCCTAAAGGGGAAGAATATGATTTACATATAAAAAAGATAAACAGAGCCTGAGTGCTTAAAAGGGCCTCCAGCTACTGCAGTTGTGTAAGTTCCTCCATCACCTCTGCTCAATTTAGTGTGATAAATCACATGGTGTAAAAATACACATTGTTGTTCAGTCACTAAGTCGTGTCCAGCTCTTTGCCACCCCATGGACTGCAGTACGACAGGGTTCCCTGTCCTTCACCATCTCCTGGAGCTTGCTCCAAACTCACGTCCGTTGAGTCGGTGATGCTATCCAACCATCTCATCCTCTGCCTCCCCCTTCTCCTCCTGCCCTCAATCTTTCCCAGCATCCGGATCTTTTCCAATGAGTCAGTTCTTGGCATCAGGTGGCCAAAGTATTAGAGTTTCAGCTTCAGCATCAGTCCTTCCAATGAATATTCAGAGTTGATTTCCTCTAGGATTGCCTGGTTGGATCTCCTGGCAGTCCAAGGGACTCTCAAGAGTCTTCTCCAACACCACAATTTGAAAGCAACAATTATTTCCCATTCAGCCTTCCTTATGGTCCAACTCTCACATCCGGACATGACTACTGGAAAAACCACAGCTTTGACTAGATGGACATTCGATGGCAAAGTGATGTCTCTGCTTTTTAATACTCTGTCTAGGTTTGTCATAGCTTTTCACCCAAAGAGCAAATGTCTTTTAATTTCATGGCTGCAGTCACCATCTGCAGTGATTTCGGAGCCCAATAAAACAAAATCTGTCACTGTTTTCACTTTTTCCCCATCTTTTTGCCATGAAGTTGGCACTGCTGAAATGAACCACAGATTGGTAGTAAGTAAAAGACAATTTTCTCATGCGATCACAGTAAACCGGCCTGATCCTAGAGCATTCTAGTTATCATTAGCTGGTAGGACTGGGGTCATCTGGCTGGAGGATGTGATGGGACATAGAGCAAAACGGAAAATCAATACTTGGGTTGGTTTCTATACTTTCTGTTCATTTCCACTGACTGATTTGTCTCTTCATACTCAAATACCATAATGCTTTAATCGCTATAGCTTTTGATTATGTTTTTGACTTTAGGTAAAGCAAGGCTCCATATGACTGTCAATCTTTTAAAAATATTTTTGCTGACTGCTATGCAATTTTTTCTTCTATGTGAGCTTTGAAATTAATCTATCAGGTTCTATTTTTAAAATTCCATCAATACTTTGGGAGTACACTGAGTTTTGGTGCAATTTAGGATGACTTGACTATAACAAAAAAGAAGCAGATTCACAGATACAGGGAACAAATTAGTGGTTACCAGTGGGGAGAGAGAGGGAAGGCACAGTATAGAGGTGGTGGAGTGTGAGATACAAACTCTTGGATGTAAGATAAGTTACAAGGATGCACAATACAATACAACATAGGGAATACAGCCAATATTTTGCTATAACAGTAAATGGAGTGCAACCTTTAAAAATTGTATAAAAAATTTAAATTTTTTTTCAAAATTGACTTTTCATTTTATAGCTACTAGGAAATTGCATTTTACACTTTTTACGAAATTATTTCATGGGATTTGCTTAACATTCTTTTCAAGTTTGCTGAAAATGTTTAGGGAATCTTCTTTCTAGCTCTAAAAAAATGCTACCTTTTATTTTACTGAGAAATTGTAAAACATTCTACATTCGAGTTCTATAATCTCAGTGTTGTTACTTACAAAAATAGAACATATACATGTATATATATATATATGTGTGGAAATAAAATTTTCAAACATACCTGTAAAATAAGTCATAATTTAGTCATAAAAATAAATAATGATCATTTTCAGGTA